GTCTGTCTGTCTGTCTGTCTGTCTGTCTGTCTGTCTGGCTGTCTGTCTGTCTGTCTTTATCACTGGATCGATGAACTGATGGATCCATCCATGACATCAGTTGCATCTGTATGGCTGATGGGTATGCCTTTACCAGCTTAAATGATCTACCAGAGATTGATTTTTGTCTATTTTCCTCTATAAAAAGTTCAAGGCCAGTAATTTGTCTTTCCACAAATTCTCAAACAGACTGGGTTAATCTTAAGAAATCAATATGCTTATGCCCAATGGCTGAGTTTGTGCTCTAACAAGCTTCTAACATATGTTCTTTTAGTTTTGCCCTGTATTTAACTCAATCTCTTATTGAACTGATCAATTTCAAACAGAGGTTTGTCTGAGATTTCTGTCTGAGTCTGACAAAAGTTGATACCTGTGAGGTTCTGGTCCTAATGATCATCTTTGCTCCTTTTCTTCAAGTTCTCACCTCAAACTGCACAGCAGCGTTGCTGCTATTTGTGTACATGGTGTTCTTTTTGTTGTCCTTTCAGTTGAGCACGACTCTAGATTGCGTATATAACTAAACTTACTTTTTCACTAGTATAGTATTATTAAAGTAATATCTAGTGTTTGGATTTTTACCTATAGAGTAGAATATCTAGGCAGCGGAGTATTACTTTTTCAGATAAGCTTTTAATGTTAGTGCATTATTTTTTGTCAGAGATAGAGAATAAAAAAAACAAGTAGCGTTTAGTATTAAGCTGTCCACCATTTGAACGAAATGTTCCTGTATTGTTTTTAATATAGCAGTTTCCAATTTCAGGTCAGAACCTTAGCAGATTAAAGCTGCCTCTAACTAAGATGATTTACTGTATTGCTCTTAATGCTCAGTACTCTTTTGTGAAAAAAAGTCATCCATCTAATCTAGCATTTCAAATTTAAAGATGAGATTGCAATGTTTCAGAGGGTTTTTGGAATCAGAAATACTGATAAAAGATTTCAGCAGTCTTTTTATTCTAGTGTCTTGACCAAATATTTACACATTTTCATTCTTTTAGTTAAACCCAAAGAAATGAATCACAACAGACATGAAAAAAACTTGTATGGCTGCAAAAACTTGAGATTGAGGTGGAGGTTCAGATTTTATTTTGTGAGAAACACTAATCCACAATTACATTATATAGGTTAGATCAAAGCACCTTTATTTTCTTAAGCCTGAACTCAGTCTAATTCAGAATCTGTGGCAAGACTAGAAGATTTCTGTCCTGAGATGCTTTCCCACCAATCTAAGTGGACTTGAGCTATTAAGCTAATAAGAATTAGCAGACATTTCAGTCTCTTCATGCATGAAGCTTGTAGACATGTACCATAAAGCCGTAGCTGCAGCAAAAGCCAATTGTACCAACTAATGGCTTAGGTTGGATAAGTTCAAATGCACTGCACACTTTTTGATTTGTGATAAGAAAAACTTTTCAAAACCTCATCATTTCCCCAGATCTTTGAAAACATGTATTTGTCTGTGACATAAAATCTAAGTAAACACACTGAGGTAACAACAAAAAAATGGCAATATATGGAATTGTTTAAGGGGTTTAGATACATTTACAATGTTCTCCTATTTCTGACAAATATCAATGAGATTTTCCTGATATTAAGCCTTTTTTTGTGTCTTTTTAATGGAATTTACAACACAGTGAAAATCAGTAACAGTATTCTAGCAGGGATCATTTTTTATATTCTATCCAAATATTAAATGTTGATCTTTATCCAGTGAAATGCTCTGAACATAGTTAAATTATGTTTTTTGTGTAATCCTCTTCCCTCCCCCTCCATTCTGACAAACACTATTTAAATTAATCTGTTTGGAGTTTTTTTCCCTGCTGTGGCACTGAATGGCAGACGGAGCGATCTCTATCAGCTGCTGATAGAATGTGTCACATTTAGTCTTGGGGTTAACTGACATTATGGTTAATGCATTGGCTACGATTAATTTAGGGATTATTGGAGAATCACTGAATCTGTGCCACAGAAACACAAACTATGATCACCATAACTTCCAAATGTTCTGCGCACAGCTTTCTGTACGGTCTTGTGCAACACAGATACAAGCTGTTCCCTGCCCAAGATTAGTGAATGAACTCTTGTTCATGAGTAGTACTTGTAGAGTCACAGAGATGAGATGTGGGTTATATTGTAAAACCAGCTGATGGGCATGAATGCAGTCCGGCTTCTTCCTTTCCTTTCCCAGGATGAATCCTAAAGGAGCTTACACTCTAATATCCTGATGGGAAAACGGCTTGCTTTAAGCTTGCACTGAATCGTCAAGAGAATGTTGCAAAGGTTTGCGGGACGTCAGAACACCATACTTCTTTGAAGACGCGGCTGATTTTTCTTGTTGGAGAGTGATTTTTCTGCTTGATTTCACCTCATAAGACTGCAGAATTTTGAATGCTGTTTTTAGTTTTATTTAATTTCGTACCAACTGGATGCTCGGCAGGGTGGTTTCTGAATATGATTCCAACAAAGATTTTAGTGTACAGGGGCCCCAATGAGGACACCCTCTCTAAGACGGTGCAAAGTACAACAAGACGCAAGAAATCAACAGGGGAGCTTTTCCAGAAGGGCTACAGGGTCAGAATGAGCCATGGGTTGGTCCCTGATAAAGAGGACCAAGACAGCTTCTGCTTCAGTCTGGGTGGATGCTTTCACATGATTTCCTACTGGGGTAAGATCACAGAGGGGATCACTCTGAAGTGGAAGGCTAGCACGTTGATAGCTGTTTATCAGCTGGAGCAGATACAGGCATGTAATGCTGCAAGCCTGGCCCATTTTAACAGAGGTGTTCTGCTAAAGCCTAATATGAAGATAGTATATTAATGCTGCTCCTTTGATTTCTGTTTTTTTTTTTTTCTCACGTTTGCAGAAACCTACTTCAGTGGGGAAAATTTTCAGTTCAAATGAATGCTTGTCCAGATTGAACCTTCCTAATTGTATTTTCTCTTAATTGTGTAATTTTCTGCAAATTTCAGGCTGAAATGCTTCTTTGTTTTTTGAGCTCATCAGCAGGCTCTTTTCTTTTGGCACAAAAAAAATGCTCCAAAAAAATTTTTGATATAAAAGATTCAATTTAAAACTCTAAAATATTTTCAGTATGAATATTGTTTTAAAGAATAATTTGTATTTTTTTTCTATTGCCATATATATGTAATAAATTGGCTTTATTTTTTTTAATTTCTTGTTATATATTTTTGTAAGTTGGATTTTGATCTCATTAGGCCTTGACCAAACTGCAGAATTCTAAACAACAAATAACCTGGCTGCAAATTATTGTCTTCTTGTTAATGTGTTGGGAGGAAAATAAAAATGACATAATTATTTAGCACATTTCATTCATAAGCTAAATGCATATGATTAACCAAGGTTTAAAAAAAAATCCAAAGTTGCCTGTATCCTGCTGTCAGTAACTGTTAAAAGGTTTGTTGCGTTCTGACCTTAACTGAGACCCACAGTGTTTTAGATCTTGCTCTGGGCTTTTTCCTCCTGAGGTGAGCAGACCTATAGATGTCAATGAGTTTATTTCTCATCCGTTCTGATATTTCTTTATGTTGGGGCGCAATGAGCTGCTTTTATAGATCTTTTAGCTTGCTTCATGTTATCGGAGATTATTGATGAAGTGATGGGTCGATTCTTTAAGAGACAAAGTAATATGTCAAGATCTACTTTTTCAGTAGTAGGTTGACTTCCCTTAATAAACAAAAACATCATTCTAAAATTGCCTTTTGATTTTTAGGCTACATGTATCTTATAATGACATTTTTTGTGTTACCTGAACATTGACAAAACAGCTAGACTATAAAAAATTTAGAGGTTTGATTTAGTATGTTTACTTTTATTTTCTAATTTGTTTGTTTGTTGATTTAAATAAGTCTGGTCGTAGAAAACCTTACATTTACACTAAGAAACCCTGTAACTGAAATGCTTTCTAAAATGTTATTAAAATCTTTTTTTAGAAAGGATTCTCTTCCAGGCTGCTGTTAGCACAGCTGCTTTTGTTAGTTATATTGTCCTTGAACTCTTGGCAACAATCAACAGCTCTGTTTTTTCCCCCTCCTCTATAAATACCCTCAAATTTCGGATTTGACGTCACAACTGCTTTTTGATTCACTTTGGCTTGACAGAATCCACCTGTCTTTACTCTAATCCAGGTTTTCATCTCTCCCACGGTCTCAGTTTTGCCGAGCAGGAATGACGCCTCTCTAAGATAGATATCGGCCCAGCAAGATGCTACTGGGATTAACAACAGAATACTCTGGGTTGATGCTGAGCTTTTCTTTTTTTGTTGTTTTTTAACCAGATTTTTCTGCATTGATTTGATATATTTAGTCCTAAGGGTTACTTGATTGTGCTTTATTCATTATCATTATGAATCCATTAAAACTGTTAAATATGGATGAAAGTATGAAAGGTATGATAATGTCATTGTCAATCCACTATTCATTGTCGATATTGTTTCTGGTTTATTTCCAACAATTTCTGAATGTTATCTTTTTTTTCCACAGGTTTGAGGTTTTTAAGAGCCTTAAGATTGATACAGTTCTCAGAAATTTTACAGTTTTTGAATATTCTGAAGACAAGGTAAGAGTCTTGATGTTCCTTCCTTTTTTTCATTTCCTTCTTGATCTGATTAGGGTGTTACGTTAACCTCAGTTGCCTTTTTAAGACAAATTTGAATGTATTGAATATTTGTGTTAAAACTTTATTAAAATTGAAAATTTACAAATTACCCAAATTTTAAGGAATCGCTTTGGCACCAAACAAACTGGAATGAAGCAGCTCTCTGTTTTTGCTCTTGCTGCTAAGAATTAGAGCTTTATGCACAGATGTCATGTCAGGAAGATTATAGCATAATAAAATCCATCAGAATAATCTTCTTAGTCATTGACTCAGATGAAAGTAACACACAAAGATGTGGGCACAGTGCAAGGACGTTACACCGTGATAAGACCAACAATATGTGTGATATTTACAGCCGCCTACACTAACTTTATCTATCCTTGCACAGCATTAATATGTGTCAGACATGTACTGCTTTTATTACCATGAATCGCTTTTATTTTGAAAAATATTAGTTATATTATATATCAGTTATATTTTACAATACATTGTGAACTACTGTTTCAAAATGAATTTGATTTTCTAAAATTGATATTGAGTAAATTATTCTTACATTTGTTAAAAGTGACAACCTGTTACTAAAAATATATACTTGACACATTATATTTTATTGTCTTTTTTCATTTTGTTTGTAATTAATTAAAAACAGCAACTCCATTAAGTTGGTGAACTTGTGTTCAATCTTCATAAGCACATGGCTAACTGCAGCAGGCTTCATCCACTTGGTAAGTCAACTGCATTTGTTTACATGTACTGTACATCTTAGCCAATTAACATATTATGATAGTCAAATAGATTTATAAAAGTAATTTAATAAAACAGTGAAACATGTTTGTAATATTGATTAGTTACATGCAGATTGATATATTAAGAGCATTTTGTTTTCTGTTATTTTGGAAATCATCCCTTAAGGCAGGGGGTCATCAACCTTTTTTAATGCTTAGAGCTACTTCATGGGTACTGAGTTATAGGAAATGGTAAATGGCCTTTACTAGTGCTTTACACTACATTCAGTCATTCACACATTCATGCCCACACTCTCACACTGATGGTGGCAAACTCATTGTAGTTTCTGTCACAGAAGTAAGGCTGCCCTACACTTGTGCTACCTGGTCTTCTGACCACAGGAAGGTCGACCAATACTGACCTATGACCTGAAAGAGTCAGCATTCACCTAAACGCATGCATTATAAACATATTTTATTTTTTCTTTTCATTTCTAATTTACTTTTAGATTTTGTCATTTTGAAAAGGATTCAAATGCTTTTATGCTCTGGATGATTAATATGATGAAATGCTGTAGAGATTATTAAAAAAGAAGAGCAAAAGAATAAAATAAATATTCAAGCTTAGCCTTAACTTGACCACTACTGAGCTGTTCTGAATTTAGAAAATGCTGAAGGCACACCATGTGGTTCTTGAGGGCCCATTGGTGCCTGCGGGCACTGCCTTAAGAACAACCAAAGTCAATTTAATTGATTAAATAAATTGTTAGTTATGTACCTTTAGTATTTAAATTGAATTATATAAAAAAAAAGTTTTTTTTTTTTTAAATATCATTCTTTAATGTACACCTTAAGGACTAAAGCATTTTAATTGAACAACGATTGCTTATACACACACGGACCAAATTGTTGGTACCCCTCGTTGGAATAAATCAAAACCCTGGTTACAGAAATAACTTAAATTTGACAAAAGTAATAATTATAATTCTATTAAAATGAAGAAATATTATTAAAATATATTGCTTTTCAACCATACTTCATATGAATAGCTTAAAAAAAAAAATTAAACTTTTGAAGATGTGTCCTTTAATCGGCATCTCAGGTGTCTACAATCTTGTAATCAGTCAGTGAGCCTATAGGGTTACAGGTTGTTGCTGTGTTGTTTGGTGAAATGGTGTGTACCACACTCAACATGGACCAGAGGAAGCAAAGGAAAGAGTTATTTCTGGAGATTAAAAATAAAAATTAAGGACATGCATGTTAAAGCTAAAGGCTACATATTATTGCACATATTATTCAGAAATTTAAGATCCAAGGGACTGTAGCCGAATCTCTCTTGATGTGGCTGCAGGAGGGAAATTAATAAAAAATCAAATAGGACTGGTATGATAAAAAGACAGCCCAGAAAAACTGCTAAAGAGATTAAAAATGAACTTCACACTCGGGAAACATCAGTGTCAGATTGCACCATGTGTCGTTTTTCGAGCCAAAGTGGACTGAATGGGAGATGTCCTCGGAGAACATCATTGTTGAAAAAAAAAACAATAAAAGTACTGGAATTTACCAAATGACATGTTGACAAGCCACAAAGCTTCTGGGAAAATGTTCTATGGATAGATGAGACAAAAACGGAACGTTTACCAAGGCATATCAGCTCTATTCACAGATGGAAATCTGAAGAAAAATCAAGAATTTTAGAGATAAATATGCTGCCCACTGTCAGAAGCACAGTATTAAAAACATCCAAGAATGGATAAAAGGAAAACATTTGACTATTTAAAAGTGGCTCTCTATGAGCCCCGACCTATTGAGGATCTTTGGAAGGAGTTGAAACATGTCATCTGGAAAAAGCACCTTTTCCAGATGGCATGTTTAGGATATTGTATCAGTATGCTAATAAGGAATGGGCCAAATACCTACTGAGAAGAGCCGAAGTCTAATTGGCTGTTACAGGAGTTATTTAATTTAAATGTAGTGATTGCGTCAAAATATCAAGTGAAGGATACCATCATTCTTGTACAGGCCTGATTCATAAGCTTAAAAAAGTTGAAGTATGGTGGTAAAGCAATGTTTGATTTTAATTTGTTCATTTTCATAGATTTTTTTGATTTATCATTCATTTTGTCAGATTTCAGTTATTTCTGTGGGCATTGAGAATTTTTCTTTCATGAAATGAGGGGTGCCAATAATTACACTTGTTGTGAGAACTGATTGCTGTTTATGTTTACTATTGTTTAGTTAAACGGTCTATGTAGATGTTAAGATAATATAAAAAAAAGAAAACATGTTTGTATAAATTCAGAATTCTGATCATTCCAAAATAACATAAAATGAACAGTTAATCTGAAGTTCAATGTATTTCCATGAAAACAAAACATACGTGAGAATTATTTGTGTTTCTGTAAATCTCAACCTCTCTTCCAGGTGGAAAACTCAGGGGATCCTTGGGAAAACTTCTCAAATTCTCAAACACTTTCCTATTGGGAATGTGTCTACCTTCTAATGGTTACGATGTCGACTGTTGGCTATGGAGACGTTTATGCAAAAACCACTCTTGGCCGCTTGTTTATGGTCTTCTTTATCCTTGGTGGTTTGGTAAAAAAATCCTCTTATTTATCTTTGCTTTAAAATATTCTTTTCAACCAGCTATCTCACTTTGCAAGTTGTCATAAATTACAGGGACAGGGATGTTTTTTTCCCCGTTTATTACTTTCCCAAATATGTTGTATATCAAGTAATGTATGATTCATGCACCGCATTATAAAATGTTAAAGAATTTTAATTTTTCCTTCAACAGTTAAACCCAAAATTATTCTCACACCTGGCAGATTTAGCATTGATTTTTTTTTCCACATTGTTCCAGGAAATTTATAAACAAGAGAGATTGTCTTCTCCGAATAGATAATTAAAAACTGAAAAATGACTCAATTTGGGTTGAAAAATTATTGATCTGTTGCGTTTTATTTGAAAAACCTGTTTAAAATCAATATACTTCTCAATAATAGATTGAAATAAACCTTTCTTGGGATTAAAGCAATTTTTTTGTTGTTATGTTTTATTGCTAACCAGAGGATTACTTGTTATTATCGGTTTCTCCATGATTTATATTTGGTCATGGACTCTTTGAACTTGGAAAACCTCCCTAATTCCATGCTTCCTGCACAGATTTTCTGTGTGATCCAATTCTGATGTCTTGCTGAATAATTATAGAATATTGATATTACTTTTAAAAACAAAAACTAAATGACTTAGTTACTTCAAATCTTAATCTGCTTGGTTTTTGAGTTATTTTGGGTTTAACTGTACTTTTCTGTTATTTGAATTCAGGAAATTTTCGTATGTTTTGCTTATTTTATGAAGAGAGTGCTATAGTTTCAGATGGCACCTTCCTACCCTTCCCCTTTCAACAAACACAGTGAAAGAATTGGGTATGATTTACAGGAGCACAGATTTATGGATGCAGCAACATAACCGATTGTCACTCTGCACAGATTGTTCTCTCCATCCTAATGCTTTCAGTGGTACTATTCCATAAATTAACCAAGCAGTTTAAAAAATATACAAAAGTAAAACTACTCAGCTGTTGGCAAAATATACGCTTATATGAAGCAGGTGTTTCATTAATAATCAACAGTGATAAATATGAGGCTTTCTTGACTTACAAGAAACAATCTTCTTCTTTGATATCAAGAACTAATGTTTCCAACACTGATGTTGCCACTTACATTACTGAGGGTTACTTTTATTTAAAGTCATCTGAAAAAAAATATATAACAAAGGTCAAGATTTAGTGAAAAAACATGCTTGTGTTTTTTATCTCATGACATTCGTATTGCTTAATTTAAATATATAAAAAAAACCTATAGCTAAAAGGGAATGAAAAGAGAGGATGTTAAGCATTAGTTTACCAAACGTTTACAAAAAGTGAATTAAATAACAGACCCTTCTGAAGAGATATTGGAAAAAAAAATATTCACAAAGACACTTAAATTTAAAATGATTATGTTTTATAGGTCGATTCTTCTGATTTTTAAAGGAGATGGTTGCTTTTTTAAAAAAAATCTAACTGTAATATGAAATTTACTGCAGTTGACACTTCATTATCCAAATTTTAAAAAAAAGGTTGGGTTAATTTTTTTCTTATTTTTTGAGGAAAGGCGGGTGGAAATAATGACTTTCTAGTAATCCAATCAGGGGCCCAACAAGACAAGTTTTAGAACTACTGACAGATGTTTTGGCATTTTGGATGGATGTGCAGCAGTGCAGTGTTAATGTTTGTCATTCAATCTGTGGTGTTTAAATCAACCCGACACATGTGTTTGTTGAACAAAACATGGCATTTAAGGCTTTTTTTCTTGGTTTTCATCTTTTTTTCTTTCTACCACAGATCAGCATATTGCTCATCCGCTTTCATTTTTCACCTATTTTTCTTCCAGTATCTGTAAATATTAACCTTTGAGCGTCCTTTTTTCATCCTCAGTTAGAATGTAATTGTGACAAAACTTCAGGTTACATTCAGCTCATATTAACCAAGTTTTCCTTGCGGAAAATTTCTTTCCTTTTAATGGATATCATTAATACCTTTGCATATGTGGCTGCGTTTCTACTTCACATTTATCATTCTGCAGAGAGAACATAGGGCCTCCTCCTCTAGGCTTGTCGTTTTTAGTTTCTTCTTCTGTCTTCTATCCTCTCCTTAGGCCATGTTTGCAAGCTACGTCCCTGAAATCATAGAGTTAATAGGAAACCGCAAGAAATATGGTGGTTCCTATAGTGCTGTTAATGGGAGAAAGTAAGTATTCAAGGAGGCTCTACTGCCTCCGCCGCAGTAGAACCTTCTCTGCATGCCCTTTTCTTTTTCTTTTTCATGCATGTAGGCCATGTTTGCTCGCTACGTGCCAGAAATTGCTGCTCTCATCCTTAATCGGAAGAAATATGGAGGGAGTTATAACTCGACCAGAGGCAGAAAGTAAGTTAAACAAATAGAAAGGAAAAAAATACAGATAAAACTTGCTATGGTGTGGTTTTGTGTGACTCGAGTGGCCTTCTCATAAGGAGGTGTTCACATTGATTAGACATAAGTCACACTGTGATTGAAGAACTTGGCCATGATTAATGTATGTATTGCTTTGCTTCAGCTTTTTTTGTAAAGCTCGTCTTTGCTGCTTTTCATTTACCAATGCTTAACTGCACTGAAAAGAAACTTCAGTCTTACCAAGGAGTTTTGGCTTTTAAGATAGTCCTGATTAGTTTTCAGTTTAAAGTTTTTATTTTTTAAGGTTTAATTTTAAAATGCTCTGAGAACTTTTTTTATTTTTTTGTAAAGAAACTTTTTTTTTTTTTAAATAGTAGATTAAACGTAAAATTGAATCCCTGTAAGCAAGGTTTTCCTCCGATGGATGAAGAAGAAACTATTCCAATCCTTAAAATTGAACAATATTCCTTAATAAGGGAATTGTCTTTTCAGTGCAGGTGAATATTTGTCATGCTTTAGTAATTCATGTGTACATTTTTTCACTGTTCATATACTGTGATTATTCATTTGCTGTAGTAGAAATGGGTTTTGCTGATAGTTCCCTCTTAAACAGTACCTCCATAATGGAAACCTCTGGTAGTTATGCAAAAACAAAGGTGCAGTACAGCTTTAAACAGCCTAATTTAGCTGCCCCAGTATTTAAAATTGTTGCTAAACTGTCATTGGCATCCAGTCGATAGTTTTCTTTACACTAAAAATGTTATCCCTGCTTCAATAATCTAAAAATCCGGATGTTTCATAGGGCTACAAAGTTACAGAACATCAAAGGGACAAAATTTGGAAAGTTTATTGTAGATGGGTTGGCTTACAAAATAAATTAACATTTTAATCGAAGAAGCTAAGAACATGCAATACTTGCAAGTAAAGGTATATGATTAAAAAAATATAAATAAGTATGCTTTTTAAGAAATATTGTTAAAGAAGTGTAAAAGAAAGTAAAAAAAAACAAAACAAAAAAAAACACAAGGCAAGAACCAAAGCCTTTTATAACTCCTTACATGTAGATGGTTTTGGCAAAATCATGAACTATGTTTAAAATCATGAACTTAAAATCATAAACTATGTTTAAAGGTTGTAGTTGGTTGATCAACAAACAACTAATTTAAAGGAACCATTTCTCATAAGCAAATTTGTCAAAAATTCAGCCACTAATACTCGTTTGCTTGGAGGGAAAAAAAGTTGTGTTTTCTTTAGAACTTGTACTTTAGAACCAAATGATATTGGTCTGTAAGAATGCACTTTTTATTATTTATTATTATTGTATTTCTAACTTGCTGCATTATTTCTACCAAGCATGCTTTAAAAAATCCACCTTAGTGGTCAGATAGAAGGAGCTTCAATAAAAAAACACATTGCACAGAAAAAAAGACAATTAATAAAAAAAAATATATATTTTAAGGGACAGACAACCTCATAAGCAGATGGATGCATCACAGTTTGATTAAAAATAAACATGATAAAATAAAGTTTCATGTAGTTGAAATCAACATTTCCATGGTCAATGCATACTGTAGCCATTTTTGTGAATCATTCTTCACCTTATTTAGTTCATTCATATTTCTTTCACACCGAAGAAAAAATCCTTTTAATAAATAAGGTCAGGTAAAAAAGGTGAAATTTCAAATGATAACATCACATATTTATGCAAACAATATATGTAAAATTTTAGAGTGCCCTCCAATGGTACCTTTAACCCCTAAAAAATTCAGCTGTTGTGAAATTATAGTTAGACCTTCAGTGTTTTTGTTAGATTTCTTTAAGTTGAACCTCCTTTCAATGCAAGTGCAGCTACAATCCTCTGGGGAGATTTCCTTCCAGAGGATTGTATGTTCCAATCTAGAGATGTTTTTTCCTCAGTTCTTCTTTGCAAAATAGCTTAATCTCTGTCACACAGGAAGGAGAATATCTACCAATTTAAATGTTATAATCTCACTAGATTCTCATAAATATTAGAATTACATTTGCACTTTCACTTGGCCATTGAATAAGTATATGCTTTAATTTAAACCCTTCTATTGTACACCAGTCTTGCTGGAAAATGAACTTTTACTTTAGTATAAAATATTATTTTAAAGTTCCTTTTTCTCCAGATTAATGACTTCAACCCCCCTTACTGTTTTGGAGATGGGTATAGAGGAGGATGTTCTGTTTCAGTGTGGATCATCAAAATAAGTGGTCCTCCTAATTCTCAATCTTTCTGGTTATATGTTTACGTAAAGCCCCTATTTATCTCTTACCAGTGGTGAGTCTGACATTGTGGAAAAATTGCAGATCTTTTTTAGGAAAGTATGAGCGATGCAAACAGCCACTTTTAAGCAGGCATTCCCTCTCCATAGCAGGTACAGGGTTGTGGATGAGCTTTTTAAAAAAATTGTGAAAATCCTCCACTATACTTTAAAACCCTAATAACATCTTGTAGAGTTTGATGTAGTAATGTGACACAATTAGAAAAAATGTTGGAGGGGTAGGAATACTTATGCAAGGCACTGTAAAACAAATTTTACACAGTGGTAAAAAGTCGTACTGACACTGAAATTCCGAAAGTGGTCATTTGGCGTCTATTGAAGAGCTATATTTTGTGTTACTTTTTTACAGAAAGAAAAAAAAAACATTTGTAAAAGTATTGTTCCCTTTTGGGCTTCAGTGTACCTGCACTTACACCTCTTAAGGATAATACTATAATCCTCCAATTGCTCCTTTCTCTCATCACCTTTGTCCTTCTTATTAAATGTGCTCTTCATCTCAGTTTGGCGCTCTGCTTGTCTATTCCCCATGCTTTGCTTTTTGGAAATTCTTGGCCTTTATCTTCAGTCTGAACTACACCCTGAGTCCTAAATAATATCTAAATAATATGATCTGAAATGCTGGGATTTTTTTATTTATTTTTTACTGGTTTTGCTTTCTTGCCAAAAATTGGATGAGAGGATTGACACATGTGTTTGTCCTCAAAATTATTCAGCAATGGTACTTTCACTGCACCAGTCAGGAAACATCATGAACGCCATGCTCTTAGACTCTGTCTTCCTAAAATAACTAAATGAGGAAAGCTTATTGCTCATTTTGTTGAACAAGTTGGTATTATAGTTCTTAATTAAGTATTCAAGTTTATTTAATATTGAAGAATCTATAAAATTTTCAATTAAACTTCATCACAAACTTTTATCCTATGATTCTAGTTACCTAAAATAATAGATCACCTTTAAGTGAGACTAAATCAATTTTAGATAACATTTTGTGTAATTTACAAAAAAAAAATGTGTTTGGTCCACTGATTAGAAGTGTGTTCTTTTTTTTTTTCTTCTCAATTTGCCTCAACTTACACTTCTTTGCTGAGCTGAAATGTTAAATATAATCAGCTTCAGTGTATCCTGCAGATTGAGCCAGTAGTTTTTAATTTAAAAAGACTGGAAAGTCCTGCTATCTGCTTGTACTTTTGAAGGTTCCTTATGAACCATTGTGTTGAAGTGTTGGCCTAGTGGTCAGAACAGTGCGCTTGTGCTCCGAGAAGGTTGCAAGTACCCATTTCGAGCACCACAGCCTGCACTGTGGGTCCCTGAGCAAGACCCTTAACCCCACACTGCTCCCTGGGGGCCACACGATGGCAGCCCACTGCTCCCCAAGGAGATGGGTTAAATGCAGAGGTCAATTACTCCAATATGAGATCAATAAAATTCAAATTATTATCAATTATTATGAAGTTGGAAAACCAATTATTTACTCAAAACAGCCATATACTGTAAGCTACCAAGCCTGCCAAAGTGGTTTACACCATTGACTAGATAAAGTTTTTTATTTTATTTTATTTTTTAAGAAATTCATTGAAAATAACCCCAAATATATACATTTCTTTCTTCTTCTGGCAACGGTAGATTATGCTGCTGAGAATAAAAAGTGATTAACTGCACATACAACTTTGTATTAACTTAACATATATACATATGTTTGTTAATTATTTTTTTATACATAAGTTTTTGATATAATGTATTATGATTAAAAGCTTTTACAAACAGTGCTTGGATCATTAGTAGAATTGACTCTTTGAGAACTTTTGGATTCCTTTCTCTATCCATCGCTCTGTTCGAGGACAAAAATAAGTATTAGAAGCCCAGGTTGTTTTTAATTTTTGGTGTTGACCTAATCTTTTGTAGACAAATCATTTTTTTAGGATCTCCCAAACATTTTATCCATCTATCTTGTTCGGGGTGCATGAAACTGTTATTTCAGGGGCAATAATGATAGCATTGGCATTTTGATGCAGGGCAATGGTTCTTCCTCACACATCCCCCAAATTAAATTACTGTAAACTATTTTAATACTAGCTCAACACTTTCTAAGTACCATGGTTTCCTCTAAAGAACCAGTACTAACATTAAGCAAGCAGATAATTTTTTTTTCTAGATGGACACACTGAAAATTTATGTAACCTTTTATGGGTCTTTAGTGCTTATTTGGGCTTATTTTTAGAAGTTTATGCATAAGACTAAGATGTGTAACCTCTCAAAACCCACGTTTTTAAAGCCTTTACAAATAATAACTCAGAATCTCAGAAGGTAAAATGTTTACCAATATAGACATGTTACACATCGTTGGAAAGCTTAGATTCTCCACAATCCAACCACCTATTTCATTTTATAGACGTAAGGAGCACCAAAGCAGAATTAACACAGATATAGCAGCATGTCAAAATATACCATGACAAAGCAGCCACAACAAGCAAGCAAGTCTTTATAACTGCTGTTAAAAAAAGATCTATTATTTCAAGAGTAAAAAAAATCCAACTTTGAGTCTTGTGTGAACTGATGCAGCTTGGGCTTGATGCAGCTTAGGTGTTTTACTCACCCAATTTTCATGTATATATTCAGAAACTAGAAGGTGTTTCTTTCAAATAATGTATTTCACATGTAATAGGGCTTACAGTCCTAAGTTATTTGCTTTTCCATTTGGGTATGCAAAATAGGTGAGAATTTCCCAAAATGAGGTGGATATTAAGAGGGTAAAACTTAGTTAGGTTACAAAACAGCATCCTAATTATTAAACACCTCACAGGGCTAAGTTCAATCCATCCTCTGAAACACTGAAGAGAGAAGCAGCCAAGAAAAACATGGCTCCAAAGGAGCAACTCAGCAACACGAACTTACTAATTAGTACAGTATATTGGTGGATTCCAGAAATTTGAATAGTGGGGAAAACTAAGGAACATTTTGGTTGTCCGAGAATCATAAAAAAAAAAAATCGGATGTAAAGTTTGTCATAATCTATGTAGCGTGTACACCTAACAGAAAAGATGCTACAGTCATTGGTCTACATGCAGATTCTGATGTGTTGAAGAAAATTAACACAGCACATCACCTACAGACATGGTGGTGGCAGTATTATTTTTGAAAGAATGTTAAAATAAATAATTTGCCTTAGTAAGCAACAGTTGTTGTTGAGCTGCTACTACTGGCTCCAGCTCTATATAAAATATTATATAAAATAAATAATATAAAAATAACAGATAAGAAAATAAAATAAAGTTGTTTTTTTTGTAAAAGTAAATGTAAAAGTTTAACAAACAGGGATTCTTTTGAAAGGTAATAGGTAACTGCTTGCCTCTTATAGTGTGCTTATCCTCTTAATTTCCACCACTATCGCTTTTCTGATTTTTCTTCACTTGAATTGGATCATTTGGAAATGTTGATTAAAATAAATTGACATGTTCTGTACTGTCTGTGGCATTTAGTTTTCTTTTATAAACACACAGAGGTTCACGTCATACTGTGTGCAGCATCTATCTAAACAAGAATCTGAGATGACCATTTTATTATTAAAGACAAATTTAAATGAGGACAGGGCTCAAACTAATCTAGGTTCTTTATATAACTGATCCGTTATAATCTGATGCTGAAATCCACTATGCTCTTTGACCTTCTCATCTAGTCCTGCCTCATCATAAGAACGTCAATGACAGTTAACGCAGTTCTCAAACGAGTGCTGAATTTCCATCACATCCCTTTCATCTCAAATAAAACAAGCGAAAAACATTGTCTCTGCTTTTATCTCCTGCTGCCTTCTAGTTTTATTATTGTTCTGCCCCTCATTTTCCAGGCACATCGTGGTCTGTGGTCACATAACGCTCGAGAGTGTGTCCAACTTTCTAAAAGACTTCCTACACAAGGACAGGGATGATGTCAATGTAGAAATTGTTTTTCTCCATAAGTAAGTGGCATATATTTGTATTGTAGTTGATTTCAAGTTTAAACGGATCATGTGGATAAAATTAGCTTTGATCAAGATGCTTTCTGTGAACTTTCAGATTATTTTTAATGACTATTATTTCCCATTCTCAGTATTTCCCCTAATCTTGAGCTGGAAGCCTTGTTTAAACGTCACTTTACCCAAGTAGAGTTTTACCAGGGCTCAGTCCTGAACCCCCATGACCTGGCCAGAGTCAAGGTAACAGATAATAGTTCTGTGCTTATTTTACTGTCCTGCTACAGTTGGGAGTGTAGATAATTATTTCCTTGTTTTCTAGATTGAATCAGCTGATGCCTGCCTGATTTTAGCGAACAAATACTGTGCGGACCCAGATGCTGAAGATGCATCCAACATCATGAGGTTTATAAAACCAAATCTGTTTTTTTTTCTTCTTTTTTTTTTTTTTTTACTATTCCCCATTTTCCTTCCTGTTATAGCCCTTTTTGTTTGTTTTGTTGATTATTTTTTGGAACTGAAGTTTCTTCAGTTGCTGACAATTTTAATTTTGTAGATGTATATAAAATAGTGCAAAGCAAAAGCCTTTAAATAAAAGCGTCAAATACTGTATATCTGGACAAATAAACAAAAATACATTGGTAAGACGATTAGATATACATTTAATGTGCATTAATGTCACTTAAATTTGAAAAAGTTTTAGAACTAAATTTGCACTCTCTTTGGGGAATGTGATAATGAGACAACATATAACTTCAATAAAATTTTAATACAAAAACGTAACTAGTACCTTCAAATTGTAATGCAGATTTAATGTATTTCAGACAATTTTTAAAAATGCAAGGTCAGAAATATCTGTGCAGTACTGTAAATGTTTGGATGAATGTTTCTTTGCTCTTTCTTTGTTGCTCTGACTGGAGGCTGAGGGTTAATGAGAATGGGCTGTTAATTATTGTTGGCTTTATAAAACCTATTTTGTTTACATGTTCATGTATGATTCTTTACTTTCTGTAAATACTCCAAGTTTCAACTTTCTTCTGTCCATTATCAGGGTAATATCGATCAAGAACTATCATCCCAAAATCCGAATAATAACACAGATGTTGCAGTACCACAATAAGGTTGGTGTTTATCTTGCTGAAGAGATTTATTGCTGCTGTCAATAAATATTATGATAAAATCAAAGTTTATGTTTTAATGAATGTTAAGATTGATTGAGCTTTTAATGCTTTCCACCTCCTCTGAAATCTGCATTGAAAAACCTTGTTTCTGTTCCCTATAGGCGCACCTTTTGAACATCCCGAGCTGGAACTGGAAGGAGGGGGACGACGCTATTTGCCTTGCAGAGCTTAAACTGGGCTTCATTGCCCAGAGCTGCCTGGCTCAAGGCCTCTCCACCATGCTGGCCAACCTTTTCTCCATGAGGTCCTTCATCAAGGTATCCCTAAGCCAGCCACACTTTTCAGAATTTTGTGCATATGTAAAATATCAAAACCATGTATCATTTTCTGCTACTTGACACTGATGCACTTTTATGGGTTGATCTAACTCATAGAGTTGGATAAGATAAGGTTTGTGTTTGTAATATGAGAAAAAATAAAAATCTAAAAAAAGGGAGCTTTATTAACAGGCATTACAATTTAAATATTTGCTATAAGAATTTTTTTTTCCTCTCAAGATCGAGGAAGACACATGGCAGAAGTATTACCTGGAGGGAGTAGCCAATGAGATGTACACTGAGTACCTGTCCAGTGCCTTTGTTGGGTTATCCTTCCCAGTCATATGCGAGTAAGTAGTCAAATTTTTGTAAATCTATTTTAAGATCTTGATTTTTTTTTTTTGGTTCTATGTCCTTCTGATGTGCAAGCAAGTAACATTTCTTAGCATCTATATAACATTTTAATCATAATGTTATTTATTTTATAATGAATTAGAAACACGTTATCATGCAGAGTTCAGCATCCACAGTACACCATAATTATTTAGTCTAGAGTACCTCTATTAAAACACACATATGACCATATATAATATTCATAAAAACAATTATCTGTAACTGAAAATATTTAGCTGATCAATAATCTTATTGTTTTACTGCTTTCCAGACTCTGCTACGTGAAGCTGAAGCTACTGTTGATAGCGATTGAGTACAAGTCTGATCAAAGGGAAAGCAGGTAATTAGTGCCAATCACTTTTACTTATTTAAATTTCTTATTTAATCAGGTCAACACTGTTGCATTTACCAAAACCTCTCAGCATTGCTGGTGTTATGAAGAAGCACATTTGCAAAAAGAGAATGCAGTGCAAAAGATTGACTCTGATGGGACTGCATTCCTGTCATGTCATTGGAGAGAATTTAATGAAATTTAATGATGTTCTGACAACAAATATGCTGGTGTTATGGTAGAAGAGGAAATAACTGACCTTCTGCTTCAGCACCTTGATCAACCCTGGAAACCACGTGAAAATGGAGGAGGGGACCCTGGGCTTTTTCATTGCAAGTGATGCCAAAGAAGTAAAGAGGTGATTAATTAGAGCACTTTCATATTTTCCACAGGATTTTAATACTTGTGTGGCATGTGACTTAAAAGAAAGTAAAAAAAAAAAAAGTTATCATGTTGAAACAAATTGACCATATTTAATAAAATGGATTTAATAGGTTTAATCACATATAAAGCTTTCAGACATAAAAATGTAGATGAACTGGTTTCATTTATGTTTTTGGACCTGGAAGTAAAGCATGTGCACAAGTTTCCATTTATACTAAGAATGCAGAATTATATAAAACATGCAACTAAACAAAAACATAAATACAGCAGAAATACGCAGATGTTTATTGTAGAATTGAGAAAATCTAAATCTCATGAACCTCCTGCTGTACCTCCTTCCATGACCACCAGGTTAAAAACCTCCGCTTTGGAGCATGATGTTAAAACTATTTTGATCACTCTTCACTGCTGCTGTACACTGAAAATTCAAACAAAGGTCAAGCTCTGTTTATTTTACAAATATGTTAAATAATCACATGCTATACAGGATTTATATCCATATTTACATTAGTTATGCTTTTGAGAGACAATATTGGTATTGAGATATTAGGTAATATATCAGGTATTTGTGACACTAAGTAGTCATTTTTTAATAAAGTCATTTATCTATCAATAAAGCTTCGATTTGCCGTAATATCATATCATTTGTAAGCCTTTTCTCTTTTATCCAGAGGTTATCTGCTTTTCATATCCTGCTAATTTCACAGCACATTGAATTCTTTATATTTCAAAGTAACTTGAAAGAGCACCAACATTTATTGAATTTTTTTTCGCTTTTAAATCTGGTTCTTGTTCTTTTGCAGGGCACTGTTTTATTGCAAGGCTTGTCATGATGATATAACAGATCCCAAAAGGATAAAAAAATGTGGATGCAAGAAATGTAAGTGTTCATGCAATGGAACAATGTGTTATAGTTTGACCTTTTCATATTTTTACATATGGTGAAGTGAAGGTAGAAATTGAGAGATATTTGGTTTTTAACTCAAATATTTATTTTATAAAACCCTGTAATTTTTTTTCTCCTTCTATAAAATCCACACCTGCCCCTTTAAGCAAACATTGACTTTGTTTGTAATGAAAGTTACGTTGTATTGTATATATCTCCTTTTATAAGATTCAGGCGATATAATAGAGTTTTAGAGATAAATTCTCCTCTGTATCACATATTTTTACCTTAGGGAAAAGAAAAGTCATGTAGGCTATTAATGATTAAAGATATGTTGATCAAAATCTAAAAGATAATATCAAATAGATAATACTGTATGCTTTAGTTCCATCCATTTTTAAGAACCATGGAAGTCCCTAAAGCGTGGAACCTGTGGTGTTGCTAAAACTATGTTTTTTTTCCTTCACTGAATTAATATATAAAGCTGAAATAAAAAAATATATATATTTTAAGATATTTTACACATCTTGCTGCTAGTAAGAGTGAAAAATACCTTTGTCTTTAAGATATCTGCATTTTTGATTAACTTTTAAAACAGCTTTATTTAACCAAAGTGCCTTACTGCCAACACTTACATTTTGATATTTAAGATAAACGCCATTTTAAAGAAAGGTTTTGGCAAATACAATCGTTTAAGAGGTTCTATTTTGATTTAAGGCCTTTCAGTTTAGTTTAAATAGGTCTTGTGTTAATCTTTGATTGTGATTTTTGCTCTTTTTCTTTTTTGTATATTATCTGTGATTTGATCCTCTGCTTCAATAAACCTGTTATGTTAGCTGGAATTCAGACAGCCTGTTACCACCAACAATATCTGCATTGATCCTGTTATAGTGTAGTTCTTAAACTGAAACTGAAATTATTCTTCTTATAACAGACCAACCAACACGTAACTATTGAATTTTATTTTATTTTTTTCTTGCTGCTTTGGAACTTTTTAAACCACTTTCTAGTGATATATTGTGAGTAATGTGATGGGGTTTTTTAATTCTACAAATAAACAGCCTGCTCCTTGCACCCCAGACTCTAGCGACCTGTTTGAATGCATTGTTTATGTTGCATGTATGGTGGATGCTTGCTGCCTGGGCCACCGTCATTGTCGTGTGTTGTCTTTAAACTGACATTTAAGGATATTAACAATATTTCTAACATATTTATTTTATTATAATTCTGTTGTTATCAATATTCTTTTTTTCTATATAGCATCTTTGTTTAATTATGGAAACTGCATCTTTAAGCCAGTAATTCCCGTATTCACCACTAGGTGTCCCCACTCACCAATGAAAAAAACCCACTGGAAGAGAAAAAAGAAACCCTTCTTGTTTTAGATGAATACAGCCCAGTTCCAGTTCAGTTCCCAGTTAATCTAATATGCAAAAGTATATAAAAAATAGAGTGTAATTAAATAGGGTAGATTATTTTAGTAAATTGGTTGTCAAGGATCCCACCTGTAATAATAGATCTATCTAATATAGATCTATATAATAGATCTACACAGTGATGTATATCAAGTTTTTTTGTTTGTTTGTTTATTTTGAATATTATGGCTTATAGTGGATGAAAAAAACAAGTTTCAGTTTTGTTTTTTTAAAGAAAACTAGAATCCTGAAACAGACCAGTGAAAGAGTTTTTTTTGTACATTATATTCTAATGTTCATGTAGTGCACATTATATGCATTAAGAAGTTTGGACGGGATTATTTTTTCTTGATTATATCAATGTGATGTGACACTGAGACAAGCAGCAGGGTATTTAACAAGTCAGTTAAGTGTATGCTCCTGTTGCTTTCCTATAGTGTTTCCTCCTACTCAGCTTTACACCAATATTTGTGGAAACAGTAAAACTAGCACCTTAAGCAGTTACCTTTGGTTACTTACCTGCCTCAACAAGACTGTCCACAATTGTCTTTTTGACAACTTTAAAGTCAGCAGTCTTCCCAATGATTGTGTTGGTCACAACATAATTGACATTTCTTTTCCATAAGCCATGATATTCAAATTAAATAATAATAAGAAAAAAAAAAAACAGTTTGCATCACTCTGTGTATAATATGGACGGATGTATGTATGTATGGATAGATGTATCTATGGATGGATGGATGGTATTTTAATTGACGGAGCTTTAAAGTTATTCAGATGTAGTTGTTCAGTGGCCTTATGTGGTTTTGCATAAATTTGAGAACATCTGAATTTTGTTTCAGGATGTGCTGAAATACTTCTTTTTTTTTAACTTATCATATTTTTTTTTCAATCTGGTACATTTGCCTAACTTTTTGTTGCAGAAGGCTGTTTTTTTTGTTGGTATTAAACTCATAACACACTACAGGGATAGGGATATTTTAAGCATTAGCTCATTCGGGTCATGACCAGATGAGGTAAAAGGGGTAAAGGCAGTTGTTTTATTGTTCCATTATGTTTATAATTTAATATGAATCAGAAACGTCAATGCCTAAATTCAAGCAAGATATAATCTGAATAAAAACATTTAAGTTTTGAACCTTTCACAAACAGGAGAGACCCAGAGAAAGCTTGTTCTGTAGCCTGCCTGCCTTTTCCCTCTACTCCTCCAGAATGACCCTCCACATTAACCTGTCCTTCCTCTCCTTTCGTCTGGACCCATGACTGTAGCCAAGACGCCTGCCTACAAGAGAATGAGACTGGCATGTTGCTTTGATCGCGGCCGCTCCAAGTGGCAGCGCTCTTGCATGCCGGTTAATGTTCGTAGTAACTTGGACTACCCTCATCAGGACATACCACTCTCTGCTCTCTCTGTTAATGATTGCTCAGCCACTTTACGTGCCTGTAAGTTGTCGCCATGACGTGTGCTCTTTGGTGTGCTCTGTGTCGACTTTGACTTTGCAGTGTGTCTGCAGCTTCTGCTTTTTCTGGCTTGAGATGCTGTGTCCTTTCTTTCAATAATATACAGTTCAGGTCAGAAGTATACATACACTTTTCATAATAATACATTAAATGATATGTTTGAGCCACCCTTTTTTCTACGTGCAATACATTTTTGAAAGTCTCTTTCAAATACATGTTGAAAACCATAATTAGATATTCAGGTTTGAATTTATTGCATTTAGTTTTTTATCCACACAAAATTAAAATTTAAATGTAAACAAATAGGCTCAAATATATGAGAGTACTACTCTCATATATTGAGAATAGGGAAATATTAATTCAGATGTATTTTAATTAACCAAATTTAACTGTAGGAAAAATCAAGTATGTTTGTCTCAATGATTATTTATGTGGTTTAGAGAAAAAATAAATTCAAAACACATTCCAATAGTTTTCTGGAGGATGATTCATTTTGGGAAGATTATATATTCAAAACAAAATTGTTAAATGGCCAATTTAATACTAAGATTCCTGTTATGATTGTGTGTGCGCTCCTGATCTGAACTGTAGTTGTTGCTTTAGCGGCCTTTTGATTGTGTTTAGTCAGCTGGTGCTTTTCTTCCCCTTTGCATTGTCTCTTTTAGAAGTGATTTCTCTCTGTTGTGTGAAATGCAGGTGGTTTGTTAAGAAACTTGTAATGTAAATTTACCTATGCATACATTACATAAATAGATAGGTAGTATTTAAGATAACATTTTGCAGATAGAAGAGTAATTGTTCCTCCAGAAGAAGAAATAAATTCTCTTCTATAGTTTAGTTTATGCATCCGTGCAGCACAGCTTGAGATACATACACAAACATAGGATTGTATAAAAAGCACTCTTTGTCATCTAACTCCTTTACACTCGGATTAGTGTGAAGAAGTTTGATTAGATTGAGTCGGTTCATGTTTTCCAAAGATAAATCAAAGTAAAATATATTTTCACATCACTAATCAACCCTGCAGAAATGACCAGTAAGTGCATATTTCATGAGACGCTGACACCGACAATATAAAAACTGATCTTGAAAACACCTGAGGGGAATTTCTTTTAGAAGACTTCAGCACATATTAAGGTCATTGTGTTTGTTGTTTAAAAAAAAATCTAATTAGGATAAAAAGGTCTGAGGGTAAAATTAGCAACACATTGAACAGCGCTGCGTTTGCTGGATGTGCTTTCTAGTTTTTAGTTTTCTAAACCTGAGTGAAGTGTACAGTAAGAGGATTGGATTAGAGCTGGATCTTAGGCAGAATAACAGAGAATGGCACAGTGCTGGATTGTATTGAGTTTAAAGGAATTGATTTGAGCTGAACAGGAATTCTTAATTCAAGTGTGATTTCCCCTTTAAAGCCTTAAAGGGGGATATACTGATGAATGGCAACCGACTTACAGAATATGTGTCTGAGCTTTCAGTGTAATAATATGCTGGAAAACATTTAAAACTGCCATAAAATCTTAGCAAACATCTCCAGATCAAAGACCGTTCTGAGTGCAGTTGAGCTTCTCTGGGCGTTTGCACCCCTCTGCGCGTCTTCTAGGGCTGTTTGCTGGGAGATTTGCCTGGCTAACAAAGCTCCGGCATGGCTGCACATCCGCTGTCGACACGGTGCGTAAGGCACGCGGAGCAAGGCCTTATATGGCTTGACGTGGAAATTATGTTTGCATTTTCATTTTTGGAATGCTACCGGTTATCATGAAACTCAGCCTGACAGTTTGTAACCACCAGGCAAGCCAAGTTGCCCCCACCCTCCTCTTCTTTGCTCTGGTTGTGGGACAGATGCTAGCCTGTTAGTCCTGTTACTCTACTCGCGCCCTCCGATTACAGGCGACAGATGCCAGGACCAGCAAGGTCCCTGTTTGAACATTGCTGTCACCATTGTGCCTTGAGCTCAATGCATGACCTTTATTGAGAGCGAGGGGTCAAAATAAGTCACTAATGAGGAGGGGTGGGATTCATGCACACAGAAAAGTGACTAACGGAAAGTTCTGTGGATTCATGCAGGTTCTATAGGTATATATAAGGAATGGAGAAGAGATTTTAGAAACACCCTTCTAATCTTATTTTTTAACAAAATATGAAATACTATCCTTGTATTTGTGAATGATGAACAAAATAGCTATTATATTATTGCACATAAATTAAAAAAGAAGCCTCTCAATGAAATGTACTGTAGTGACTTTACTTTACTTAAACCCTTTGGGGACAGATAATATTTTTTATATCGTAACATTAATTTTTTCTTTTATGATTTCAATAGATTTTTGGTAAAAATTAAAGTTCTGCTTTTTACATATTAAAATTTTTCATTTAAAGGGTATAAAGCCAAGCAGTAACTGACCATTTAGGCCAAAAGTAGTCTTTTCAAAGTGCACAAACTCCATGTGTTTGAAAGGGGTTAAAGTCTATAGATGAATTACTTGTAGGATTTTTTATTTCAAGTGTTTGCTTCTGGTAATTTTTTAGGATTAAGGCTTACCGCGGACATCCCCTACAAGGAGAGTAAGCTGCAGTAGAAAAGCTCATTGCTAAAAAGGATGCCTGTTCACAGAGTTCTGTGTTTACGCATGTGATTGGAAAATTGTGCGAAAGGACAAAGGGTTATAAAATAAAGTGTAAAAGCAGCAGGGATAACAGCAGCTTTGAGGAGATTGTGAAGCCAAGCCCATTGAAGATTTCAGAGGACCTTCAGATCCTGGCTTCCAACTGTTGACTATGACTATGTTAAAGCTACTGTAACTTCTATTTTAAATTTGGAAATCAAGGTTTCTGAGTCTGGACAAAGTTCCTTGAGGTTCAGTGGGAAGTTTTCAAAGATTATTTTGAGAGCCATGCTTTTGGTCCCCCGTTTTGTTTTTTTGTTTTTTTACATCAAAATCAGTGCAGCTACACTGCAAAAACGATCTACAAATATGTAAACATTTCTTAAACTAAGTGTATTTACTCTTAATTTAAGTAGGTGAATAAGAGGATTTGCCAATGGAATTAGAAATTTTATTATAAAATAAGAAAATGAGGTAATATGCACTTGAAACAAGCAATTGTTTTTTCTTATTTTAAATGTAAATTGTGTTCTTCCATTGGCAAAGTGTCTCACTAACCTCCTCAATTCAAGAAAAGATGCACTTATTTTAAGAAAATATTACTTATTAAGATTTTTGCAGTGTATGTATAGGAGTGCTTTATGGTTTCCTCCTGCTAGCCGGCCCAGAACCTTGGATCTTCCCATAGTGCTACTGTTAAAGGACTAATACCATTTTTAATTAATTATATTGATTTCATTTTATTGATTTCTTTTCTTTGTGGTTATAAATAGCAGCTAACATCAGTTTATTGTTCAAATTGCTAAAATATATTTCCCTTTCAGAAAACGTAGCTCATTGCATTTAGTTATCGACTTGCCGCTTCTGTTCTTGCCAGACGAGCATGCAGCGGCAGTCAAATTAATTGCTGGTGACTTTGTAGGGACCCTCATATCAAAGATGCATGTAGCCACAGTTAATAGGAAAACGTCCTTTTAACTGGAAGAAACCGTCAGTAGAACCAGGCTCAGCATGGGGAGCCAGAGCGAAAAAGAGCATACACACAAAAAGAACATAGAAATACTGATGCAAGAATATTTCCCATGTTTGAAAAGAAAAAGAAAGATAGAAACAGCTATATAGCTATGCTTGACTGGGCAGCAAACTGGCTTGATCTAAACCCCACATTAAATGTATGAGTAAGATAGCAGAGCAAATGATCCAGATGTTCAGAAGTCTGCAATGAGAGATACAGGCTGGCTGCTTACAAAAAAACACACATTCATACAAGTATCAATATCTTATACTGTACAGTACATGGACATACATTTCATCATGCATTACATCTCTGTATCAGTTATCTTTGTTATTCCAATGTAATAATGCTAATTTGAAATTTCATGAACTGTGAGTCATTATCCCTAAATTTATAATAAAATATCCACATTTTCATTATTTTTTAACTTATTTAATGATAAATCTAAGGAAAAATCTGAGCTAAAGTTCTGTGTAATATTGTTTTTACTGATCCACAGCCTTTTTTTTTTTGTAACCTGAATTTCTCAAAAAGATGATGACATCCAGGCTTTGAGGCAATGATTTTCACTGTTGTAAAGCAATATGTCACGATTCGTATGTGCTGATGGGTCAGCTGACCTCAAATGATTAATAACAAGCAATATGTTTCTCTGGAAACCGAATACATTTTTTTTTAATAGTTTGACAAACAGTCAGTTTATAGAGTCACTGTTTGATTAATTGATAGGCAAAATATTTCTCAAAAAGAAGCAAAAAACTTGAGTTTAAAGTACATCTTTCATCCTAATGACTTCTGCTTTATTTCTACTTTCTAATTTCAGTTGCCTTCAAGTTAATTCTCTAGATTTCCTTTTGCAGTGCCTTAAAAAGACAAGTTCCTCAGCAATCAGTTCATTGTTTTCATTTTTTTTTTGCCTTCCATTGCCGTCTGCTCTCCCCTTTAACCTCTCATCCATCTCTGTATTTTCCTCAGCTAAAAATAGCTATAATGGATATATCAAATCAAGTAAGTGTTGATTTCCTTTCTCTGACGTTTCTCTCTAACACCTCCACATGTGCATTCCCAACTGTCGCCACCTGAGCTGTCTCTAACCTGTTGTATTTCAACTGTCTCCCCTGTCATCATCTATTACTGCATTTCCACTCAAAGCCTTGGGAAAATGTTTCTTTATGCTCCACATTGGCACTAGGGGGTGCCCTCACCTCACTGTATGTGTGGAAACATTAAATCACTTATCATTTGTAAATGTAATAAAAGTATTTAAAAAAAACATGTATAATCCTTAAAATGACAGTTTATTTCTGGAAATAAGCCCACTGGCATTAGTTAGAAAAATAAAATACTTGTAAAAGTTGATGTAATATTTTGCAATTTCTCATTTAGCCATCAGGCAAGTGTCATCCACTTCACTTTAAAAGGATCTGTGCAGCAAATCTGCCACATTGTGTTGTCCTGAAGAAGTGCTGCTCATGTTTGACATGAGGCAGATATATACTAGAGGTCTGAAACAGGGAGGATAATCTGCTAGACAGCTGACTGTTGGAATAATCATCTCTCTTCTCTAGTTTTAGCTCCCAGACACTTAACTTAAATAAGCATTCCTCTTCTCTCTCTTTTATCTCCACTAGTTTTACCTCCTTTTATCAGCTCCGCCTGTTATAATTCACAGTGTCACATCCTCCTTTTTCTGGCACAACAATCACCAAAGCACCTGAAAGCAGGTTTATTAATTCATGTTTATAATAATAACTGTCAAAGTAAATGTCAAAAAGAACATTTCATTGGTGGCAATACGAGCTGGTTAAGTGGCGTTAAATAAAAATGAGTTTTTGTTAAATTATTCAGATATTAGCATTCTTGTGCCAGAATGAGTTACCTACCCAAACTAGAGATTGGTCTTAAATTATTAATTTCTTTTATTAGCACAAATACATAGAAGGTTGAAGTTAGTTTGAATCAAGCCCTACCTTAAAGTCCCTTAAAGTTTTCTTTCTGGTACATTATTTTGACCCAGATTGGATTTGATAATCTGTGTTCGTTGTGTTTAATACAGAAGGAAAATAATAATTTTTTTCTGTATGAAAATCGGAATAGTTGTATTTAGCTTCCTGAATCAATGTTTGGAATCAAATCCAGCTGCACAGTTTTTTTTAGAAGATATTTCTATTAGATATAGATATTATTTAAATATGTAGATATTGAAATGTTTTAATTTTCTTCTTTCCAAAACAGCTCAGTGTCATTTAGATAGGATAAAAAACAAAACTGTGGATTTTTATTTAAAATTATTGCATGATTTGAGAAAAAGCAGCCCCACAACAAGATGCACCCACCCCCGTGTTTCACTGTGGGGATGATGTGTTCAAGGCAAGCTATAGTGTTGGTTTTTCAAAATACAGTACATACCTTTTAGCAGATGGATAAAAAAAAAGGTTAAGATTTATTCTAATTTCACCATATTTTTCTTATAATTGTTGTTTTGCATGGATGGCTTGTCACAAACTAATCAGGACTGGCACTCACTGCCTCTGATTAATGCTCTCCTTGCCTACCCTGTCAGTTAATGTGGGCGACAATATTTTTGAAGGTTTGCAGTCTTATACTCTGGAATCTGTGCTGTATTTTTTATAGATTAAATCACTCATAGGCTGAGTTGGCTTTGTAATTATGTGACTACTTATGGCACTACAGTGCACTGCATTTTATTTATGGGTATTGCTGTGAATAGAGCATTTACTAAAAACAAAAACCTATGACTTATTAGATGTTTCTGAATTACTTATCTGTTTATTTATGAGATGTTATGAGATTAGCAGATTCATCATACAGCTGTTGATTCTGACTCCTCTTCATTTAGCAGTAAAAAGCAGCCCTGTAATCCGGCCACCACCTTATCAATACAAATCAGTTAAAGTGAACCATGTTTCAGCCAGCATGGTCTGTAGGGCCCCCCACAGAGATGCTGCTGGTCCCATCCCGTTGGTAAACAACCGCAAGGGAAGCCTGCTGGCCCTCAGCAAGCCTTCTGCCCTGAAACTGAGCCTTGTGGGCTCTAGAGACCTGGCCCAGGTCGGCCAGCTGCCAGGGGTGGCAGAGGAGACACGTCGACTTCAGCGGGCGCGAAGCCTGCCTGTGAAGTACAGATACCACCACGGTCACCCCAGTATCACCACTCACAGTCAGATGAAGCGTAAGAGCCAACTACCCCACCTCCCTCCCACCCGTGCTGTGTTTGGCAGGCCTGTGTTCAACAACAATACCACTGAAGCATGTGCTTGCCAGGCTGGAGTGGCTGCATGTGAAGCATTCTTTGCTAATGACCCAGCCTGAGCAGCTGTCAGCTGCGAAACATTAAATATTGAATAGGCCGAGCAAAGATGTTAAGGGTCCCGAGTGTTGGAGCGTCCCTCTCCACTGGAGGCCCCTTCTACTTCCACTTTTTCCATTATGGTGTCAGTCTTAGACAGGCTATCAGTGCTAGAAACCATGTGTTTATTTGCAGATAAGTGCAATCTTTAGAACTTTATCAATTTTAATGAAAGCACTTAGTTTCTATCTTTGTTTTAAAATATATTAAAAAAAAATAGGTGGAAAAAAATACTCACAGCTTGAAACATCACTAAAAAGACACCCGAGTGCACCTTTAACAACCTGTAACAAGCCATTCCCCCTTAATGATGCCTGTTAAAACTCTATCAGTGAAACTGCTACTCTTGTTCCTCCTGTTTATTTTCCTGATGACTTGTGCCCACCTTAGCTGCCACCTTAGCTGTGATATTACCTTGTGAAAAAATATTTGCAGGATTACTCGACCTGTGGTAGAAACATATCCGTCTGCCTCAATGAAGAGCTCGGCATGGTTTGGTGGAGTGATAAAGACTTTGTCCAAGGGGCATTTCCACTGTGCATAAATCTCCCTGGCACAAGGGCCAACCTAATTACATGAGCCAAGGGCACCAATCCAAAGACAAATGAACACTTGAAATTTAAGGGAGATTCATTACTGTCTGCCTCATCATCTACTGTAGTGCAGGATGCTTAATAATTGCTGATTTTTGTTTAATAGGACCATAAAGTAAAAGGTATATTATAAATAAGCCATCTGTCAACACTGTAAAAGAATGCCTTTTTATCAATGAAGCCTTTTAACCATAAAAAAAACTTTATTATAAGACATTCATCTTTTTTAAAAGAGCAAAATAAAGAGAAAATAAATGGAGAATTTTGCCCATGATAGTTATAGGACTGAAAAAGCCTATAACTAAAAAAATAGATTTGACCTAGGTACAACATTTTTTATAAAACCAACAGTAATTATTGATTTTTAAAAATTCAGATAAAAAAAAGCAACTATATCTAAACACTTTAAACAAACCAAACATCAACTAGATGTTTTAATCATGTCAATCATTAATGCAAATTATACTCAAAACAGGATGATTAAAATATTCATATTGCTATTTTCTTTCAAGATAATGAGCTAAATATTATTAATAAGAGATTAACTAAACGCAGTATGTTTACAAGTAAATAATTATGGAGCTATAAATGCAGCATTAAAATTTAGTCCTGGCAACAAAACAGGAAAATATTTTAGCTTCATGTTCAAAATTAAAACTTCTTATGTTTTGCTGTTCAAAAAGCGATAAATAGTTTCATCATTCACAGCTGTATTTTGAAAAAATTCAATAACACTACTTTGGGGTCTGACAAGCCCATATTTTTTATTCTTGTCTCATTCTAAACTAAACATAAAAGGGTCTGTTTTGACTTTTTTAAAGAGTAAAGATTCCTTAGTTCTCAAAATGTGTTAAAGTATTTCAGTTTTATTGGCACAGGTATTTTATTTATCTATTTATGTTTTTACCAAATAAAAAATGCTACCAAAATACAGGTATATATATACGGTGAAGTATCTTTGAGTCTTATCTCCATCACATGACAGAAACACTCCAGCTCTACTTCTGGACCCATTTTGATAGGATTTTCCTGGTGATAACACTTAACCCTTTATAGTACACTCAGGGACATACTTTGAAAATAAAAAATTCAAGCCAAGAGTGTTATTGGCATCCAGGAAGACGTTATTACATTTTGAACATTAAAAATATGTATGTTTTAATGGCAAAAGTTTATGTCAGTGTAATAACAAGAAACGGACACTTTCAAGAAAAATAAAAAGTGCTTCTATAAGAAATTCATGAAAAACACTCAGAGAGTGAAAGAAAAATAACCTTAATGCTGATGAACGCGCTAACATTTTAAACTTTTTTAGCATAGCTTATTAGCTATTTAACTTTACTTTTTAATTTGTATTTATCTATTAAACTTTTTCTCTTACCATTTTCTTCATTGTTAACTTTTTTCAACTTAATTTACAATAGGTAATAAATTATTCAAGGCTCATCTAGTTGGTCAAATGACAAAATAAGATGTGCAGCCATGTAGCAGTATCTTTGCTGATTGGCTGGATATAGATCTTGTGCTTCTAGACCTCACTGAGGGATGGGGTGACTCCATCTGTAAGGGGGATGCAAGTGATCAAAAACGGTAACTTGCCCTATAAAGGGATAAAGATAAATATTGTGGCATTTTATTACCAAATGATCTCATTACCCCTCTGTCATATTGTTATATTACATTTTTTTTAAATCTCGATTTTAGCTGTTTTCTGGTTACAGACTAAACTTTAGCCATCAGCATGATGGAAATACTGCATGTTTGCATCTTTAAACAAATCCATAAAACCATGTACCATAGTTCCCTGTCTGCATTGTCTGTCCTTTCCACCTGTCTGTCCTATGCAGCCTGTGTGTGTACTGTCTCTTTAAACTTACCAACCTGTTTCATCTCCTCATTTGATACTGACTGAGTTCCAGCTCATACCTTTACACTTTGTTTCAGTCGAGGAGGACCAACAGACAGCTTTATCACCCAAAAAGAAGCAGCGTAATGGAGGAATGAGAAATTCTCCAAACTCCTCACCTAAGATTACGAGGTAAGAAACTGGTGGAGAACATATAGAAGAACATCCTCTGTGACCCACCCTGACCTCCAGCCCAACCCCTTAACCTATTTTTTCCACACACAAAAAAAACAAAACATGTCAGACTTGCAAATGCCACATGGTTTCATGTGACACCCAGAAACTCTAGCACTTAAACAGGTCTGGCACTAATGACAGCACCTAGCAGGGAGAGAGGCTCTAAAGGATGGATAGCCCAAGGCTATTCATCTATTGTCGGATCCCTCCGAGGTCTTTTCGGCACGTAAGGCCACAGATGATATGTATCATCCAAACGAAAGGCGAATTCAAATGCTACCTTGCTTTTATCTAGTCTCATGAAATTAAACCAGCGCTTATTGATCTTGACTCACGATAACGCTGTTATTCAACAAGAGCCCATTACCAGAATGATAATAGTAGCACTCATTGTCATTAAGTGCCATGTTATAAGGAAGCATGAGGGACCTGCAGCCTGATGATACTGAGGCGCAGATGACTTTTTATCAAACCTGACAGATCACTTTATGTTAGCATTGACGAATATGACTGCTGCCATATGGTTGACATTTTTAAAACTAAGTCCACATGTTTCTATTTTTAACATAAGAGGTGCAGATAGGTGATAAAACAAAGGTTAGAAAAATGACTTTGTTCTATAATAAATAAAATTATTTATATGTATTGGTTAGCATTTCCTTTGATCGTAGGCCTCAGGTATTTTAGGGTGGGTGTTTCTCCCCTATTTGATTTGCTTCAAAGTGGTGCTGTTTAACCGCTGCAGGGTATTTCCAGATTTTTTAGCTAAAAAAATAAACAAAAACAAACAAAAAATGGGCTGCTTGAGCACTACAGCCATCAGCCAAATGTGAACACACCAAACTGATCCATCTACTCACCAAGTTAATCACAGCAATACAGGTGGATGTGTTATTCCATTCAGCCTCGGCTCTCGACACGCTGGAGAGGGATTTGCTGCGGTGGCCTAAGGGATACCTCATTGTAACAAGTGCTGAAAAAAAAACATCTGAGTATATACTGTATCAAATGTGTTTTTATAGGACTTGGAGCCTCAAGGCCCTTGTAAATAAGTAATGATCAACAGATTGGCTGTGAGTTTTTGAAGCAACCCTTTGTCAGTATACATGACGGGAGGTTTTTCAAAGACTTTTAAAGCCGTCAGTGCTTGTGTAAGATTTAGAAGGAAAAAAATAAATCATGTGTATAAAGTTTCAAGCAAATCCATTTAGACAACTTAGATTTTTTTATTTTGCATTTATGTATTTCCAAGTACAACCAGATTTAAGTGCATTTATTATTGTTTTATGTTTTAACCAATATTTCACAATGAGACAGAATTTATCTTCCCACTTTTTAAAGTAGAACAACTAAAAGATTATGATTGGCTAGAGAGCATCTAAATCTCAAATCCTGCTACAGATGATCAATTCAGTCTTAGTCTGGACTGCTCTGCCTCTCACATTTGTTTTCTCTTCAACACTCTTGTGCTTTTGACTTATGGAATCCAGTGTTTGTTATTCCAGTGCAATAATATTTAATTACCAAATTTGTACGTTTAAGATTAACATAGTAAGCAAAAACATTTGCAGCAACACAAACGACCTACAGTTATTTCAGTGAGAAAGAATCGCCTCCACATCTAGCACACTAACGTGTTACTTCTGGAGCTTTGCAGTGATGACCTCACTGAAATTAACACCCCTTGCACAGCCTCTTTGATGGGTCATAAGACACATCTAACTGCGGCATGTCAAAACGTGTTTGGTCACATCGAAGCGTCTTGACATACACGTCATGTCTGCCACTGCACTGCCGCAGCAATTGGCAGTGTCGGACAGTGACAGGCCGTCATGGCTGACGGTGAGCGATAGCTATCCTGGCAGAGCTCAGCTTCAACAGTCATCACTGCAAGGACAAACTAAAGCGACAGCAGCTCCATTGAGTGAGTGCTCAACATTTGACTTTTGATGAAATATTTAACCAAGGTGTAAAACCTCTAAGTGCTTTCACTGCTATAAAGATTTACATTTAGGGTCAGATTAAGCTGATTTGATCATATATAGACTGAGAAATGGATGGAGATTTATTGCTGCTGAATCATTTCATCAATTTATCCCAATTTTATACCATTTAACTATTTCATTTATGTTCTTATCTGGTTTTCACAAAATCTAAACTTTAATTACTTGTTTAAAGCTAAAACGACTAATTGTTTTAATGATTATGCAAAGTGAAAAAACTAGAAACCAAAAGATAGGTCAAAGCATGTCTGTTGGAATGATGGAAAACAAGCTTTTTGGGATCATAAAACCATTATCCAAACAGTAGTAATTGGACCAAGGCATCACCCAACCAACTAGTAGATTTATTCACCTGGGCTCCAAGTCAAGAAAATGGTAAAATAATCATTGGTCTAAAAATCCATTTATGATGTGGATAATAGCTCCACATTTCAATGCCATCTTTTCCTAAACATCGAGCTGTTAGCTCTGCATTTGAAGGAGGGAGACAGGAAGTTCAGTTAGTTACAATAATTAAATACAGAAATGTAAAGAAAATCCTTCCACAAACCCCTAGAAATATAAAAAAAATAATAGTAATGATTATTATTATTATGAAGAAAATAAATAATGAAGTGTAACACTACAAATTTATATAATCCTTTGGCAGTTTAAATACGGGAGCCAAATATCGTTGTACAATTTTAACTTTAACTGGATTAAATTAACCTGTTAACTATATTTTCTAGGGTAAAGTATGGTACATCTAGGAGCAATTCTAACTAGTTGTCCATGTTTAATCATTTAAACATGGAGAAAAACAACCTAATGCTCCCTAATACTTAAAAGCGCTCTGTGATTTTCAATTTTCCACCAATAAAAGTATAAATGTCAACCACTACAAATAAATAGAGTTAATATAAACAACAAGAAATTGCTTCAAGCTTGGCTTTTGTGCAAATATAAATATTGTAAAGGTATTCAGACATGAGTATTTAACATGTCATATAAATTTGATATCAGTAGCTATTCAATTTTCTTTTTTTGCTAGCTCTTCTACTCAGATACATGCTTATTTGTGAAAAACTAACTTTTCCTTTAGCTTGTAAAATATAGAACAATTAGATTTGCACTGAAAAGCCTTGAAGAACCGTTAAAAAGTAGACTTTGCTCAGATGAGGAGGCTAAAACTTGACCTTGCAAAAATAAATTTTTGAAAATGGGCAAATGCAATAATCAAGCATTTTTGAAATGAAGTTCACGAGGTATAATAGTGTAGCATCTGTGAATATTTTGTGCTTTTACTACAAATATGTTTGGTTTTAACAGGAATGTATTTTTCTTTTATGCCCTCTCTAAACTGTGATATTGGGCAGACAACAATACCTACTTATTAGCCTCTGGATCCATTTTAAAGGCCTCAGGTGCATTTAAAGAAAATCTGATAAAAGCCTCTATCATGCAGTCATAAATTGATGAAAATATATTAATTGCCTGCATGACAAAGACAACATAAGTCTCATTTCAATAGAAGTATCTGTTTAGAAAGAGTGTAAAGAGATATTGGGACATAGATCAATTAACATCAACATTAAAATAATGTAACCTTAAATTAAGAAAGTCGTGTATTTCCTAACTTTGTGGCATATGCTAAAAAACTATCTGAACGTATCATGTGCAAACAATATGTTATCATTACGATGCTATATCTATAATATATAATATGAGACAATTATTGGCTCTTTCTAAAAGTACTGCATTTTTCCACTCATAAATTCTTAGTGCATTGTCAAATTGAAAACTAACTGACTGAGTGGTAGCTAGTGACAGAAAATATCTTTCCTTCCCCAGCTACATCTGCTGCAGAAAGGACATCTAGCTCTTGCCTCGGGGTATATGAGCCCAAAGCAAGTTTTTTGGCTTCAGTCTCTCACAGCCTGAGGGATGCTGGTTTCAGCTGACACTTTCATACATACTTAACATGTTATTTTAGATGGCATTCTTTTAGTGCACTCACTTGGATTTAAGACATGCTCCTTTTAAGGATATGTCACTTGAAGTGTTTTAAAGGTTTTAGTACAGTAAAGACAGAGGGCTGCTGTCTGAATTTTTTTAAACATAAATTTAGCATTGGTCTGAATCTGACAAAATAAATCTATCTCATAGATCTGTAATGTGAGCAACTTTGACAGGACATGGTTTCTGTAGGTATCCTGAAATGAAAGGCTAATGTTCACCTGGATAAGATAGCAGGGTTTTAGCAGGACCTTAAAGGTATAGAGGACAATCTTTTATTTTCGGTGGATCATCATTGATTATCTGTCCAAACAGTCAGTTAACTGAGTTTGCTATAAAGTCCACTATATAGTCCCCTCTGTATGTGGACGTAGTAAGCTTGTATGAGCTATGAGAACAGTACGTTTTAAGCAGGGCGTGCACAAGGAGAAATGGGCTGGTGCATGCTGTTGCGTGTGCATTTTTGTTTTTTTTAAATTGGAGGAGTGTCTTTTAAAAAATTCTCCACAATACCTTTAAAGATATCATGGTACTAGTTAGCTACTATAGTATAGCATCAGTTACAAGTGGAAAAAACTAACTCAACTTTTCAAACATTAGGAGTATCTTTTATTGTAGCATAATCTTACGAAGAAAAGCTTAAAAAAATAGAAATAGCTTACAATATTATAACAACTATCTTAACATGTTACAAATTTTTAAACATCACTGATGGCAAAAGTAGTAGGGGATGTACTGTAGTAAGGTTGTTTTTTTGTTTACTTTTTTGAAATGACAATGACCTGGATGACTGAAAATCTTCACCAGTATAGTGGGGGATGTTGAAACATTGTTTTATTTCATAACAAGGTGGAATTCACTTAAAATTGTTCACTTTACACAATGCTATTGACAAAGGTTGTATAAAGAAACAAGAGAAATGGTCAAAGATACTTTTTTTTTTTTTGCTCTACCGAAGACGTGGCCAAAAACATTATTACTGAAAGGGCCTTTTTTTGAAGAATCATTTGAATATTTTAAATAACATGTTAGGAAAATCAAAGATTTAGTGAAGGTAGTCACCTTGTTTCTTTTTTTCATCAATCAAAACAAGTGTAGTCCAACCACATGTTTTCCATGCCCATAGACCTGCAGCCAGTGTAGAACATAGATTGAAACTAAACCACCTTGCTCTGGGAAGTTTCTTCATATAGCCCTCATGGTCTGTTTAAACATTAATACCCCTCAGTTTGGAAAGCAAATGCGGTTCGGCAAATTGCTGAAATATTTAAAATCTGGTCTGTTAAAGCTTTTACCATGCAGCTTACTTTCTTCTGAAGCGTTATGCAGTAAGGGGGCGTAATTGCATCTCCTTGCTCATGCCAGTCATCTTGGTTTTGTTGCTGCCGTCTCCTTCCGCGTGGTTGCTGCTGCTGATGTCACTCTGCTTGATGACAGGGCAGTTTTGTTGACATGTCTGCAGATGGCCTTTGACAGCAATGAATGCAGAGCAGGGATAACTAGAAAATGCAATCTATTTCAAGTACAACTGATGTATTTTATTTTCATTTTTTATTTGAAATAACTGTGGCCTTAAATCTAAACCCTCTCATGGTATTAATCTCTTGATGTTTTGGTCCCTCTAACCTTCTGCTTCAATTAGACACGACCCGCTCCTTATCCCAGGCAATGAGCAGGGCGAGACCATGGATGAGAACATAAAAAAATACGACTCCACGGGGATGTTTCACTGGTGCCCATCTAAAGACATTGAGAAGGTCATCCTGGTGGGTCCTGCAACTTCCTTTAAAACACATCTTTTGTCCTGAACTCTACCCTATGAAAGATTGGTGTTATAAAGCACCATCAAAGTTTGACAAGTCACTTAAATTGTCTGTAACGGGCTTTTCGACATGTTATTTGCTACAGTATACACAGGTCCTGTAAAGTTCCTGCACTAATACATGTGGAGCAGTTTTTGTAAAAAGAACAAACATCCAGCATTTATTGAGAAATATGTGTCATGACTGTGTCACGTATAACATTTTCCCAACTCTTTTTGTTCCCTTTAAGACTCGCAGCGAAGCAGCTATGACTGTTCTGAGCGGACATGTGGTTGTGTGCATCTTTGGGGATGTAAAATCGGCACTGATTGGTCTCCGAAACTTTGTGATGCCCCTGAGAGCAAGCAACTTCCACTACCACGAGTTGAAGCACATCGTGTTTGTGGGATCCCTTGAATATCTGAAACGGGAGTGGGAAACACTACACAACTTCCCAAAAGTGTCCATCCTGCCGGTAAATATTGTCAAAATTCTGCGTTTGCTTGGTCATTTACAATATAAAGATGTATTTTGTTCTTATTAACATGCTTGCTGTAATACTTCACAAATATTTAGGCCAGAAAATCGTTGGAGATTCTTTCAAATACTGAAATTTTTCCTTGAAATAAGTTTTTAATAAAATGATGGTGCTTGAAGAGAATTAAAAGTGCATAAAACTTCCTTTTTCAATATAAAGATATATTACATCCTGTTTAAAAGCAAATTTTAGACATATGGATGACATTTTGTCGTTTTGCAACATTCACCTTTATTCAGAGGACAGCGAGAATAAGTTGAATATATGTTAGAAACCATTAATTCTACTTGGTGTCTATCACTCATCTGGGACTGAGTTGCAGGGAAGCAGTCTCAGCAGAGACTCCCAGACCTTCCTCTCCCCAAACACCACCTCTAGCAGGTCTTGGGCCGTTGCCTGAGTTTCTGACAGGTCAAATGTGCCTGAAATACCTCCCGAGGGAGGCGTCTACAGTATGAGGCAATTGACTCCTTTTAATGGGGAGGAGAAATAGCTCTACTATGAGCCTTACTCAGATGACCAAACTCCTCACCCTATTTCTAAGGGACTGCCGGGCAACCCTGCGAAGAAAGTTAATTTCAGCCACCTGTATCCTGTATCTCATTCTTTTGATCATGAATCCAAATTCAATGACCACAGGTGAGGATTGGAACACAGACAGACCGGTAAATTCTCTTCATTACAACAAACTCGTGCAGCATCTGCATTGTAGTGAGAGTTGCCCCAATCTCTGGTCCATTCTCTCCTTACTCGTAAACAGGACCCCAAAATACTTGAACTTCGCCACTTGAGACATGAACCTTCCTAAAGAAGGCATGCCTTCTTTTTCCTGTCGAGAACCATAGCGGAATGTACAACCTTGGCTTCAGCAGGAGCGGTGTGGTTTTTGCTGTGGTTTAATGGGAGTTTGCCTAACATGCTTTGTGGACCTGTAGGAGGCAGTCAGCAATCTCCTCTTGAAGCCGTGGTTCTACAATCAGCTAAACTCTGTTTCTCCTTAAGATTAAAGTGTAATCCCTCTTAAGTTGTACCACACCATCCAGTCTCCCTTTTTACTGCATGGAGGGGACCCACCACCTAACCCAAACCCTTATTTTTGTTTTTTAACACCCTTCCCAAAAGGATTCACAGACCTTTTTAGAAGGAAAAGTTATTTAAGATGGATGGATGAAATTCCAAAAGTATGGCTTGGTTCACAAACACTTTTTTGACAGGAAAATGTGGGGGTAGCATTGTGAGTGGAGTTTGCATTTCTTTAAAAAGATTTTTTTTCAGGGTAATGATATAAAAAGTTCTAAATGACAGACAGTTTTGACCCAAATCCTTGCACTGCCTACTGGGATATGTCCTACCAAACGAATCATAGTTAGAGGAGTGCTAATGGTCTTATTTTTAAAAACATTAACCTTATTTACAAAGATTCTTATAAAATCATTACTGCTAAGAACAGGTGGGATGGTTCAACAGAGCTATGGCTGTGGGTGAGGTTAGCAACTATTAAAAAGATAGCTAGGATTACTCTTATTCTTCTCTAATAATGAGGAGAAATATACTGCCCTTGCTTTGTAAAGAGTCCTCTTATACAGCGGTAAACTATTTTTTCTCTCCAGTTTCCTAGCATTTTGCTTCAGAGTGCACAGCTCTGCATTAAACCAAGGAGCCAGCTTTCAATTTTTTAAGTTTTTCTTTTTCAAAAGAGTTGAGTTTTCTTAGGCAGTATGCAGAGAACTAGCAACCCCATCAACAAAATCATCAACCTCTGAAAGTATTTTTCATTTTATTATATATTTTTATTACCGTATATATTTATTTTAGCATATGTCAAATTTTCAAACTCTAAGTGAATTTTCTTATTAGTTATTTGCAATAATGCTGTTATTAGTTATTAGGCAAATTAATTATGAAATTTCAAGCATTTACAGTTGTTTTTTTATTCATTTGAAATTGTATATTAGAGCTATCTGGTGTATATGTTCATATTTAAAATGAAACAGACAAACAGGTTAACACAGACAAACATATTACTATTTCATTGTATAGAACAAAAGGTTATCTTAATATGAGTCAGATATTAGGCATCTAAATTTGTCATTTCCCAGTTGACAAGGATGAATATTCAGGATAGGATAATTAAAATATATAAATATCAACACAGTCTAAATTGGCTCACCATACTACCACCTTATAACAGTATGTATTGGAAGATATTTTTAGGAGAAAAGTCTAATTTGAGAATTCTATCTGTCATATCACATTATTTAAGTAACAAATATTAATCTCTCCTTCTTAAAGGGCACACCATTGAGCAGGGCTGATCTGAGGGCTGTCAACATCAACCTCTGCGACATGTGTGTCATCCTGTCAGCCAATCAGAACAATATTGACGATGCATCCCTGCAGGACAAAGAGTGCATCCTGGCGTCACTTAACATCAAATCCATGCTGTTTGATGACAGCATCGGGGTCCTGCAGGCCAATTCTCAAGGTAAGGAGTGCCCTATCATAGTTCAGTGTCTCGCCTGGGAGGGACAGGGCCCCGGCACAGAAAATATTTGCTCACTGCACGCTGCATGGCTGACCTGTTGTCGCTGCGTTTGACAGTAAACCTTACTGACTCTTCCTCAGGTTACTGTAACAACCGGTTACCTCACAAACCTCAGTGGTGGCAACATGCACATCACTGCCACAGAAACCTTTGCCTGACATTTACAGTTTTATTTTTCAGTTACTAGGGCTGCTTTATACACAATATATATTTAACACATTAATATTACATCTTAGGGGTTTCTAAAGAAAAAAAAGACCCCCAGAGCATTTGCGTAGTATCCCCCATAATGTAGGCATTGTTTAGCTTTAGGAAAAATGCTTTTAGAAACCTTTTGACCTTAATAGAAAAAAATAAACCTGACAATTTCCTTATCCGTCTACTGCATGTATAACCTCACATTTGCCTTAGTCAGCAGTAAGTGATGGATGTCAAAATATCGGCCATGTATTATACATATAACATCACTGATTTAATGTGCTTACTTGTCAGTCTGAGGAAACCATGAAATGTCAAGTCAATCTGAATTCAATCTTGCATCATTTGTTTTCTATTTCATGGCTCCTCAATGTACATGTTTTATTCTGGCTCTGCGGGCACACAGTCTAAGGGGAACAAAATGAACTATACCACATATATTATATATGGACTAATATTGGTCCCTTACATGAATACAGCAACACTGAACTTAGTTCACAGGATTTATACTGTGCTGTTTGATTTTGTGATAATTTGTCATATTACAACCACAATTTTCATTTAATTTATTAGGATATTATAGGATAGCCCAATACAAAGTTGCACATGAATGTAAAGTGAAAGGAAATGATACATGGTTTTATGTATTTTTCGTTCAGAGCGCATATCATATTAGCCAGTTTTACTTTAATAAATAACTTCATGTGTTAGTAATGAGTACAGCAGCTTATATTAGTGAAAAGATAGAAGATGCTGGTGAACAAACAGCATCACAAAGATAGGCTGTTGAGAAAAATTTAAACCATGGTGCAATCTGTAAAGCAATTAACCAGGTTTTACTCGAGAGATAGGTGTTATAGTTTGGTGATAGGTTTATGGAAGACTAGGCCAGAAAGATAAAAGTAGGAAGATAAATAAAAGTAGTTTTAAATTATTGCTGGGATTGCAAAAAAAAAAAAAAATTAAATACTTTATTGGTTCATATTGTGCTCTCTCTACCTTCATGTATTTAAAAAAGCAAAGTCCAAACTAAAAATAGATGACAACCTTTCAATAGGGATGAAATATTTAACCAGAGTATTCATGATTATTCCGTTATTGCCAATATTGTCTGATTAAACTGGTTGAGTAATTGCTAACTGGAGTATAGACTGTAAAACCTGAATTTTTCTGACGGAAACAAACATTTAGAGCACAAATAAAGCCAAGTCTGCATACAAGGTTGATTAAAGTTGCATAAGGTTGCATTTAACATATTTCATTAATTAGATTGACTTTACACTGATCTTTAACTACCAATGCACTGAAAAGTGTTGCTGTGATAAAATGCATTCTCTTGTCATGCTACAATATTACTTTCAAGGCAGGGAATTGGTTATAAAAACAAAAAACATTGTAGTATTTCTACTGATACTACCTCATTGTATACACTGATGTATATAAGCACCAAATGCTCCATTAATAGATCTGTTTCCTGTTCTTTGTGTTGTTATTAAGGCTTCACGCCTCCTGGGATGGACCGATCCTCTCCTGAGAACAGCCCGGTCCACGGATTAGTGCGGCAGACCTCCGTTACAACTGGAGGAAATATTCCTATCATAACAGAGCTTGGTATGATTGCTGCTGAATTTTTAATGAATGGCATGGTAGCTCTATAACCACATGTTTCTGTACAGTACTACTGAAAAATAAATAACCAATGTTTGCTAACTGGTTAATGAGTGGTTAACAGTCCTAAAAATGTGTTTGTGTTTGACTTGTGCCAGTAACTGTTTTTCCCTCAACACCTGTCCAGCACCATTAGCAAAGCAAGGCAAAAAAGTGCCTGTGATTTCATTCAGTCAGGATAAAAGCAGTGGGACCAGCATACAAATGATAACTGAGCTGGGTAAGAAGCGCCTCCGTCCTGTACTGCAGTGTTGCAACTGCTGCTGCCTCCATATCAGCTTTTTTCTTTTGATTTCTCTTTGCTGCACAAGAAGCTAGTCCATTTCCATGGCATCACTTTGAGCAGAGTTTTGGTTCTGGTTGAAATTGCCTGTCTTGTTTTGCTCCCTGACCCCCCCATCTCTAAGTGAAATAGCTCCCTTTTATTTTTTTTTCCAAGGATTACAGGGTCTTTGATCCCTTTAGAAGTCCTTGTGGCTGTTTTTGTTGCATCTTCTTCGGGATCACATTCTCTGGCCCGTGCCGTTCTTTCATCCCAGCTCTGTCCATAAGACTCGCATTTTTTTCTGTCCTCACAGAGGGAGCAGTTTTCCGACTAAATTTTTACATCATTACTTTCATCCAGCCACTGCATGTGTTCTTTTGTGCTCAAGGACGTCTTTAAAGAAGGTTCTGGGGCAACCGCTTACTTTTATTTGACCTGACATGCGAGTAGGAGTAATTGGAAGTTCTGTCTTGGATTTACAAGACAAACAATGGCATATTGGTTTTACTGATACTGACCTAAAGGAGGGCTTTGAATTTTGGCCTCAAACTTTGAGAATATGCATGCTGTGGTATGGCTGTGTATAAATATCAAACACAGACTTATTCAAGTTAATTTTTTTAATAAATTTAGAAAAAAACATTTAATTGAAACAGAAGAATATTCCTAATACAGACCATACCTGCAACTACTGCCTGTTTTGCACAATCACTCTGCTTTTTGCCTTCCCTTTAATGCAATTCAAGGACATGCTTGACCCACGTCTTTTTAAGCCTAAAACCTTTATATAAGATCTCTGTTTATTGTAAGGCAAGCAATCAAACAGAATATGAATAATTCGTCATTTTCTTTTCCACCCTCCTAACAGTTAATGACTCAAACGTTCAGTTTCTGGACCAAGACGATGACGACGATCCAGACACAGAGTTATACCTCACTCAGCCTTTTGCATGTGGGACAGCATTTGCAGTCAGTGTGCTTGACTCCTTAATGAGTGCGGTAAGTCACAAAAAAAAAAGAAAAAACAAAACTGTTTACAGGCGATAAAAGTGACTATATGATACAGATTAGTAGCAAAACTGCAGTAAAGAATTTACAAAAAGGTAATTTGAACAGGGAACTTGAATTTTAAAACTGGAAAATGGCAACGATTTGTAATTTCTAAGTATTTCATTGTTAAAACAAATGTCATTTTTTCAAATCAAAGTGAAATTCAACCTAATTTTGACAGTAGAAAACTCAATAATGTCGTTCTCACTAAAGCTCCCTGTTGCAATGTCTGTCTGTCTATGTTAACCTGTTGTCATTTCTGGTTTAAATGACAGCCAAGTGGTACAGATTTGAGCCAGGTGCAGCAAAATGCTTTTACCGGTATATTAGCCAGTAATAAGTGCAAGATATAGAGTAGGGGTGTCCAAACTATGGGACAGGGGCCATTTTTGGCCCCGCCATTGATTGTATGCGATTGTATGCAATGAGCAAATTTGACACTTCTTTTACTTCCAACATAATATGCGATATACAAATATGCAATATTTTAAAAAACAAAGTTTTCAGAAGGTTTTTCTGCCCTTTTTATGTTTTGGATCTACAGTGAGTTATGGATACCTATTCCTTGAAACGAACTATTTATTTTACTGCAAAAGTTTTGCATGAATCGATGGAGTAATTTACATTTTGCTGAGAAGATCAAGAAAGTTAACTCCTTTTCAAACTTTTGTTTAAAAAATAGGGAAAAAAAGAAAAAGGTGAGTTCTTTTATTCTATTTGTGGCTCATGTTTCAAATAGCTTGAACACTAGTTAAGGGCATACTCTCTGGTCTATAAAGCAGGTGTACAACTTAAATTTACTCAGTGTATAGAAATAACAAAGAGAATGTTTTAGCAGCCAAATTATCAGGTAGTCATATCAAAACAAAAGGGAAGGAAGCTGGTTTTAGCCCAGCATCTGCCTGATCTCTACCTGTATAAAGGTTCTCAGCAAAATATATTGTGCTATTATTCAGAAATCTTTATAAGTAAATTCTTTCTCAGCAAATTTGGATAATTTTTACCTCCCAACAGGATGTTATGTTCTTAGGAGATTTTTCCTGTCATTGTAACTTGAATTTGTAGACAAATTCTAATGCGATTTTTATCAGATGTGTCCCTCACGCCAAGGGACAATCCGTCAAATTTTGGTGATGATCAAGGTCAAAATCTGTATAAAGGAATCTTTAAAATATTCTCTAAAATTGTGAGATAGGGATATTTGGCTGGACTTGCAGTTCCCCACTAAACCAGAGGGTGGCAGCAGTGAGATTTGACAGCCTCAGCATTGGACTCAAAAATGTCCAGAGGTATTTTACCAAAGACAAAAACAAAACAAAAGGGAACGTTCTTGTTTGTTAGCAGTATCAAACTTATGAACAAATTTTATGGAGCTTTTTTTTTTATTTACCAGAGTTGTGCCTCATGCCAAGGAACAATTCATAAAAATTAATTTGCATGTGATCCAGATCATGTGCGAGTTTTAGCTCTAAGTGTAAATCTCAATTTGGAGCAAAATTTGCTTCTTGGTGGATACTCCTCTTTAAAGGAATTAAACTTCATATCTTCATTTGCTTTAAACCGATAATTGTCATATTTAACTGATAATAACTGCAATGTTAAATTTATTGAATATGAAACAGATGGATTCAACCATTTCTGTATTTTGCAACATTAACAATTTCAGAGAGAAAAGGCTTTTTTCCCCACATATTTGATCTATTTTACATCTGACTTTAACCACACACAATATGATGACATTAAAGGAACAAATGAATAAAAAATATCCAAATATTTGTTCTTCATGCTTTAGGATGTGGCGATGGAAAAATACATTTAAAATCTATTCCTCCAATTTATTTGTGTTTTTTTTTTTCTTTACTTCACAAAGGTAGTGTGCTAGCAGATCTACAAAGGTAGGCAAGTGGTTAGTAGCTTTTCTAACTGACTCTTAGAAGCTGTTTTCCAGTGTTAGGTTTTTTTGGGAAAAGGCAAGTCTCCGTCAGGTTTAAGATTATTCAAAAATGCATGTATGAGAATTTTCTGGAACATTGAAAAGATGTATGTTAAACACCGCCAACTATCCCCTTGGGTTTTAAGTACTTTGTCAAATCCTTTGTCTTACCAGACGAGACAGAGGATTTATAATGTAGCCGTTCTCCATTACAAGGATTCATAAATGCTGCTTGAATGAAAACTACCAACCTCTTTTTTCTCCTTTAACAACATTTAAATAATATGTGAGTCAATATTTAGTAAAAGCCTTAAAATGTAAGCTGTTTATGGTGATACAGCAACAATCATGGGCATAAAATGCAATTTCTTTACTAATAAAAGGGGTTTCCCGATGACTTATTCTTCCTGACCTTTGACCTCATCTAGAAACCTTTGGACTTTAGAACATGGGATTTAAAACCCACAGGTTATGATGTGATTTGAAAAGGCACATCTGATTTCTTATTAGAAGAGATAGTGGGGTTCCTCCATTTTACCTAAAGATAAAAGTATCCCAGTTAAAACGGTAAATGAGAAGGCTGGAACTTCCACTGAGTTTGATGGCTTCATTTGTCTGCCTTTCATTTTGAGTGAGGTTAGGACAAAGCTGCCTTCAAGTGTGCTCCAGTGTAGACAAAGGTAATGCAACCTAATGGACAGCCCTCATCCATCATCTTAGTCAATAGTGCTGTCAGGAGCCGAGGGAGATGTCACTTCGGAATACAAGCGTGGGGAGATGAGGGACTGCACTGCGGAGAAAAGGGCAGACATTTCCCCTTGTTAAAATCAACTAACCAATAACTAGAATTTACTGGAAAGGGAACAACTGCAATACCTGGAATAAAGAAAGGGATGTTTTCTAAGTGATTCTCTTAGAGTTTCCTAAAGACAAGATGTAGACAATCTTGACAAGGTTCAGTTGTGAATTCACCCCATCTTCTTTCTTTATCCCTGCAGACATACTTCAATGATAATATCCTCACCTTGATCCGGACGTTGGTAACAGGTGGTGCCACTCCAGAGCTTGAGGGTTTGCTGGCTGAGGAGAATGCATTACGTGGTGGCTACAGCACTCCACAGACCCTGGCAAACAGGGACAGGTGTCGCGTGGCACAGCTGGCCCTATATGATGGGCCCTTTGCTGACCTCGGGGTAAGTGAACGGTCCTGTCACTCTGGGGTGAAGGCCATCTTTGTCTGCTTATATTACACATCCAGCCTTCAGTGGAAGGCTTAGAGGGTCAGTTGTGACATGGTGCCCCCAACACTGAAGAGTAACCCAGGTACAGATTTGATATTTATGCTGTTACATTACATGGTTGCAACACTTCAAATGTCATTAATTGTTCGGGGTCCTAATCTTTAACAGGATTTTGTACATTAAGGCTGAGTTTTGCAAGGACACGTTGATTTTGTGTCTTTTGAACCAGTATTGTGTTGATTTTGTCATATTTTTGGTCTTATTATCATGCTGAAAAATGCTCTAATAACTCATTTTTAGTCTTTTGGTAGAAATTTAATTAAATGCACTGATACAAGGTTACAAGGTTGGAAGAAAAAACATGTGTGCTGCAGCACAAATCCCATAGCCTTGAAAACAAGATACTTTCTACTCTCTTTTTCAGGTTTTAACTTAAGTGATTTATTTAATGGTAAATAGCTTAATTAGCCTCCAGGGGCGGAGCTAAGGGGTGGCCAATCTGTGGCCACTCACCAGGTGATTTCCTGTTCTCATGATGACATAATTCATCAAATCCAGAACAAGCAGTTCCCTATAATACAGAGTGGCAGCAGTGAGACTCTCAAGTGGAATTTCCTAATTTCTGTTTACTTGTTACTAATTCAAAATTCTCATTGTTCGTATATCAATCCTAAACTGACAACAAAAATATTATAGTTAATTATTCACATCAGTATAGCAACAATAACAATATGGTGACAAATACAAAATTTGTGGGGTTTTTTTCAGAAATAATTTTTGTGTATTTTGGGGAAGAACAGAAGATCATGTATCTCAACCAGTTATCTAGGATTCTTCTGTCCTATTAAAGAACAGCTAATCAATCAACTGAATATTATGTATATTATGCAGAACTATAAATGATCAGTTTAGAGAACATAAATTAAATAATATGTCATTATATATGTTAGCAAGTGCAGCTATCTTCAGTGATTTCTTCGGAAAATACTGAACTAGTATAGACTGATCCTGAACTGGTTTCTGTTTGGGCACCTTAACAATTTTTTTCTTAATCCACCACTACCAGTCTGATCTGACCAAAACAGACATTTGCATTGGAGGTCACAGTAGACTTTGCTCTGGCACACCCCTATTTTGATACAGCAGGTTGGCACGTCACTAGTGTCTGTTTCCTGCAACAGCATTGCAAAAGCAATGGTGCTGATCCTTTTATGGTGCAGCAATCCCTCATACAGAGCATGCTATGAGTTTCTTTCTATTATGCTCAACAGAAACTTTGATCCAGAGTTTTAGCAAAATAAAAATAAAAAATTTGGTACTTGTTCATAAACTGTTTTCTTTATATAACTCTTCAAGCAGACGGTTAGCGCTGCTCTGCTTTCAAAGATATTTGCAGGTGAATTCATAAAAACTTCAAAACAAACTTAAAAATTTAACAAAATTACATTTTAATGCATAAAAGGACAGGAGGGTATTTTTCTCTTTGCTTAAATCTTTTGTTTCTTTATGTTATTGTTGTCTTGCAGGATGGCGGCTGTTATGGGGACCTGTTCTGTAAAGCCTTGAAAACGTACAATATGTTATGCTTTGGGATCTATCGCTTACGAGATGCACATCTAAACACACAAAATCAGTGTACCAAACGGTGAGTAGCCACCAAAGCTTTAATGACCCTTCAGATTAAGAAGAGAGAAACAATTAGTTTTTATAATTTTAACTGAACTCTTGCAGAAACATTAAATATTTTAGATACATTTTTCACTTTTTTATTAAAAGAAACTCCACTACATTTTATTGGGATTTTATGTTTCTCTGCCCAAAGGAGAAAAAAGACGTGGATGTAAAATAATAAAAGATGATAAAGGTTTTATACAAATATATAATCTTGAAAATGTGGAATAAATGTATATTTAGACTAAGTATCTCTGTAGAACACATTTTGCTTCAGATCTTTTTGGGTAAATCTTTACCAGAAACTGTATTTTTTCTTCTTCAAATATCTTGTTTGTTTAGTAGATCAAGGTTACTAATTTCTTTAAAGGCTTCTTTTTGCTTTTACTTGAGTAAACATATGATGAAGCACTTGTGAACAGCAGTTTTCAAGTTTTGCCTCAGATACTTACCAAAAAAATTGGACCAGACTAATACAGGAATATCCTCTGATCTGAACCATTTAGGTAAATGTTGTTTTATAAACACCCTGCTGGAAGATGAACTGTTTGTCTCAGTCTTAATCTTTTGAAGCCTCTTAAAGGTTGTCATTCAGTAGCGCCCATACAGTATATAGCTCCATCCATGTTACACTGAACTTTTAACTAAAGTAGCTTCCCTAATTATGTTGCTGGTAAATAAAAGCAATCCCAAAACTTGATGCTACCTCTATCATATTTTATAATGGTCTATATGGGTTTGTTATGAGATATAGAGGTATTGTCAAATTCACATTCTTGGTTTTTATTCAATAATGGCTTTCATTTACAGAGGGGCCATGTTTTGTAAGTGAATAAGATGTCCCTTTAAGAGCTGCAGAAGCTGTTAGAGATTATAGACATTATGTTGAAGGGAATCAGAGTCCAAGGGGTTTATTATAAATACATTACAAAGCTACTCCTTTCAGATTTTTATTTGTAAGAAAAAAAAAAAAAAAATCTATTTTTTCTTTCAGTTCACAACGGTGTGTACATTGGTGTTGGATAAAACCCAATAGAAATACACAGAAATTTGTGGTTGTAACACACCTCACATCTGTCCTCACATCTGGTCAATTTCTTCTCCAGGTACGTCATCACCAATCCTCCGTACGCATTTGAGCTTGTGCCCTCGGACCTCATATTCTGCCTGATGCAGTTTGACCATAATGCCGGCCAATCACGGACCAGTCTCTCCCACTCTTCCCACTCCTCGCACTCTTCGAGCAAAAAGAGCTCCTCCGTCCACTCGATTCAAACCACCAACCGCGCCAACAGAGTCAAAAGCAGGGACTCACGAGACAAACAAAAGTATGTTCCCCTCTAAAGCCGTCTGCCTGTCCATGTCTGTGATCAGTGCCTGCAGTCAGTGTTGTCCTGTGTGTCCTCCGTCAAGCCTCAGAAAGACAGGAAACTGCATCCGGTTTGTATGTCCGTTTGAATGTGTATGTATGCATCTCTTGTATGAAGTACTTTTGTGTGTTTGTAATTTTCTTATGAATTGAAGTGGCTTGTTACACGGTCAAAGTTAGAAACAAGCTGTATTTCTTGATTTCTTCATGCACTACGAGATTTTCATTGGATTTTTTTCCCCATCAGATTTTTTCTGATCCATTTACACTCATTTGTGTGTAAATTGATTGTATTCATTCTTTATGTCACATGCTTTCTGCTTTTCAAAATAATAATTTTTCAATTACATTTTATCTAAAAATTTTTTGCAAAAGAAATAATGTCTTTGTGAAATGGCATAGAGTATGTAGTGATCCTATCTGCCTATAAAGGCAGCTGCTGTAAAGCTTATTTTTTTCAGTTTGAGACGATGTCATTTTTTCTAATTTGGTCAAATTTAGGTATGTTGTCAGCAGAGCATTTTGTCTAATAAATGTTATTTTTCTCATTTTCCATTATGCAGACATTGAACCTGCAGTTTCTGCATCTTATGCTACTTAGCTTTTGTGCAGCTTTTAAGAGTTAAATTTTCCATCACAACCTTTTCTCGTTTCTTATATCTATCACGTCTTATCGTAAAAAAAAACAACATACTTTTGTTTTACTTCTATTTTAAAATGAATTGTACTTGAATTGCACTTTAAAATGACATGTCTTAAAAATCTATATATTGTCTAAAAATATTGTATAGCTTTTTTCCCCATAATACCTCCTTATTTCCATGAAATTGTCAAATCTTCATGAAATCAAACCTGAAACTCTGAAATATTAATTGTGTCAACTACTTTAAAGTAGAATTTGTTGTTAATAAAGCTATGTCAAGATTTTAGTGTTTATTTTTTATGTTTATTTTTTTTTTTCAAAGTTGTAAATGCACTGACTTCACTTACAAAGACAAGTACCAGAAGTAAAAAAGATTTATTGGGCTTTTCACTTCTTGCCCAAAATAAAGGAAGGTCTGGAGTCAATGAATTTAAAAAGAGACAAGATATCCGCAGTGATTTATTCCATCATTGCACTTCTAAGACATCCACAACTTAGCTCATAAAATCTTCTTTAACCTGAAAACTCGACTCCTGGGTGTTGCAATAGTTTGTCAAATTGCAGCCTCAAACTAAGATCTATTTTGCTGGGATTTTATGAGATAAGCCAAAATTACAACTAAAAGTGTGGTATAAATTTATATCAGAGGTAGGTTGTTACTAGTTACATTTACTTTAGTAACCTTTTCACATTTTTTCTAGTATCGTTTGCTGCTATAATCGTTTTGCTGGCAGCTGCTCACCTCCGGGCTCACATCTCAGGAAGTGTCCCCGATTAACAGTTAAAAATGCACTTTATACATCTCCAGTCTGCCACATCATCATATTTTACATCATACACGTTAGCAGTTGAGTAGACATCCATGGCTCCAGCCTTATCAAAATATAACACTTTGTTCTTAGCTGAAGGACACCGCTCTCATTCCATTTCCAAATCTTTGCTACGTGCAGAATGAAGACTATAACTTTATATCCAAACAGAAGAACTGTCTTAATTAGATTAACTATTGTGGAAACATCAGTTCTTACACACAACAGGCACACATCATCAATGATCATTATCATAACACTGTAAACACCAGAATTTTCCCATTGTGGGACAATAAAGGGATTTTCTATTCTATTATATTGAAAACAAAAATGCTTTTAGGAGTAGTTTTACAGAGTTGTACTTTTTACTTTTACTTGAGTAAAAATATGATAAAGTATCATTACTCTTTGTAGTATAAAATTCCTGGCTACTCCATCCATTGTATTTGCTTGTTCTAGACAAATATTCACTACTCAAAGTTTACTGGTTTAATTATTTTCCAACTGCTGATCCTGCTGTGAAAATACAGTAAAAACAATACTGTCATTTAACATATTCTTACATACTGTAACTATTTATTTAGTAACTTTTATTATTTAAAAAATGTGTTTGAAAGTGTTCATCCCACCTAAATGTTGTATTGTGTAATCACTGTATGTTATATGTTATATATTATTCGTTGAAACAGCGGGATTTGCATATTATTTAATATTTTGTTTAATTTTACATCATAAGTACACACTCCAACAGACTGCCACACTTAACCCCAGACTGCTCCCCAGGTGCCGCACAGTGGCAGCCCACTGCTCCCCAAGGGCAGCAGAGGGCTGCAAAGGGCTGCAGAGATTTATTTTCCCCTTTTCGGGACAATTAAAAAGTATTTACATTACAAGTCAGTAGATGAGTTTATCAGAACTTGAGTAGCATTTTTACCAAATACTTTTTTACTCTTACTTGAGTAATTACTTGAGTAAACATATGATGAAGTAGTGCTGCTCCTATTAAAGTACAATTTTTGAGTACTCTAGTTAGCGGTTTGCTAGCAGTACCTGCACATCACACATGAAGGACACCAAGGGTGGGAGGTGCGGGTGCACTCTGAGGCATTAAAACTAATCAGGCTCTTGAAACATAATATTTAACATAATAATTACACATTTAGAATAAAAATGTGAAAGGATTTTAATAAAAACTACACATAAGGAATAAAGGATGCTAAAGTTTTCTTGTTTTGTGAGGTATGTCTACCTCAGAGGGAAAGAAAAATGTTTGCTTTAAACAAAAGAAAAAAGCATATTTCATAACACACAACAGAATAAAAAACATAAAATGATAAATGCAGAAGCAACAAAGTCATGAGCAGCAGTGTTATCTGTTTTTTCAATATATAAAGGTTCAAGAGAATTTTGAGAATGTGTCGTTTTGGTCAGAGGTGGGTATTAACTAGCTAAATTTACTTGAGTAACTTTTAGAAAAAAGAGAACTAATAGAAGTTTTAACTTTTACTTACCGTAACTTATATTTTTGTGAGAGTATTGCTACTCTTACACTAGTAATTTCTTTGATCCCTAACAATGAAAATGTGCTGTTTGGAGATCAGGACCAAAATAAAGCAAAATGTGGATATTGTCAATGGAAGTTCTTCATTTTCTTACAATGCAGTACCCATTGTAAAAAAAATTCCTTATTAATTTTGTGATCTTTTTTATATTTGTATTTTATATTTTCTCTTATACTCTGAAGTACCAGAATTTGATTTATCTTCCTGAGTAGCTTCTTATTTTAGTCAAGCGAGAAGGTGTTAGTTGAAAAACAAATCTGTGTTTTTTGGTCATCCTCCTCTCTGTCAGTAATGATGAGTTCAATGTAGACAGCAATACTGGTTTTCGAGCTGTCGTTATTTGAGCTTTGCCTTTGTTCTTCCTACACATCCAAACCTACAACCTTTTATCTCATGTTATAGTTTGGAACTTAAAAATCATCTATTCTTTTCAATTTCTCCTTTTAGAAGAATACTGATAAATCTTTCTTTTATCTTATCATCTGCTAAGTACTGTAGATGTGGAATAATATCTATATTATCTAAGTGCTACATTGGGTTTCATTCCAGCTTTTTTAGCTGGATGCTTGATAAAAGTAAACCTTAATCTTCTAACATGAACATTTTGCTTTTTGTTGCAAAAATTATAAAATTCTTTATATCAATGTCATACAATATATTATATTTACATATAGTCTATTACTTTCTTTTCCTGAAGTGCAACAAGGATCAATAGAGCTGGCCAAGGTATGGAGATAAATGATTCTGCATGATGTTCAATAATTCACTGAGCACAATCATGTTACTGTTGACATTTTGCCCACTAAATCTGCATTAGGAGTGCATGGTTACTATGACACATGCAGCACATCTCACATTTATTGTGGAGTTTGTGATTGCAAGTAAATGGTTTAATCCTGATTCCCTTTGCATTATTACATGTGATGTTTGATTGTGTATCATTCAAAACATATTTGCGCTTACATGTAAATGAAGTGTACCACTATAACTTTGCTACTACTGTAAGTAATAATGAAAACGCATGCCTTTCAACCAACCAATCAAAATGGTGTATCTTAATGAATGAAAATATCTTAAAACTCACATTTATTTCAGTAGGGTAGACTGGGGACCGCTGCAACAAAGGATGGGTATTTTTTTATTCAATTAGAAAGTATTAATTAGAAGTATTTAGAATTAATTAGAAGCAATTAGAAGTATTTTTTTTTCCCAATTAGAAACAATATTGATGAGATTGATAATGCACATGCCCAGTTGGACCCTCCCCCTAACCACCGGGGGAGAAAAAAAAATTAAGATAATCTTGCATATTTATTGGAAAAGATGAGTTTTTGAGGTGTGACAGTACATTTTTGTAATATCGTGTATTTTCTTTTCACTGTCCTGCCTGTTTGTATGAATTAATCAAAACTTAGTGACATGTGATTGTTCAGTTTTCGTCAGAGTTATATGGTTAGCATTTGCTACAATCTGAGTGTCTAACCAGCTTATGCTGTTCTGTCAAACTACCTGCTTTGGAACATTTGTGTGACAATTTCTGTAACCTCCCCAAAGGTCCAGGGAAATGCTGCTGCAGTCCTGGGCGCATACAGATTGCAAAGCTGGAGGAGATTTTTTACATAAGCCACAACTGTGAATCTGACTGATAAGTGAAAGAGGGAGTTTGATTATTTTTCTTTAGATGTCCATATAAAGAAATAATTTCAAAGAAAAGTTTAACAGATATCAGCTGTCTGTGCTCTGAAGTATCAGTTTTTAAAAAAAGATTTTCTTTTTTTTTTAATTTTTTTTTTTTACTGTTTTTGGTATTCCATGCCGTGTTAATTTTAGATAATTTTGTATAATAATACTATTTGTAATAGTCTCAAAATGTCATTGTTTCATTTTGAGATGTCTGTGTATGTGCGCTTTTTAGAGAACGCAAGGTTTTAGTTAGTTTATAAAGCTTAATAAATAATATAACTCATAATAATAATAAAACCAAAATGTGATTTGTGAAATCAATTAGGTTTATGACAAATAGAAATTATTCATAAGTGGTGTTGCAACAGTCTTAGAGATGGGGTCATTTGCAACAGTTGACTTTTCTTTTTCAGTTAATAATGGAAAAGGCTGCTCTATGTTTTCATATATCAGATATAGAAAATTAGCAGACAGATGCAAGTTTGATATTTTAATTAATAGTTGGAGTTGGGGGGGGTGGGGGGAACAAACAAGTGTTGCACCCATCCCCAGTCATCCCTAGTTAAAATTTAAAAATTAAAGATTATATATGAAATTTAGCCCCATACATTTACAGGCTAACAAAAGAAGCCAAAACACCCCCATTCCAAAGGAGTGGAACCATTCGTCCGTTTCAATTTGCATGTTTTCTAAACAAAAACAAGGCCTTGTTTGGGCTACTGCATATAGCCTCGAACTCAATGCTATTCCTGACATTTTGAATTGAAAAAGCTGGATGGGAAGCAAAATGAAAAGAAAGTACAATGGATTTTTTTTTTTTACTTTTTGTAATGACTATGACCTGGATGACTAAAAATCTTCACCAGCATCATAAATTGTAAAATGCAATTCCTTAAAAACCTTTGTGTGTAATAAATCTACATCAGTTTTTAAATACTACAATTATTATAGATTTTTTTTGTGATATTCCAATTTCTTTAAATGCACCTATATGGCAATCAAAATAAATTCTATTAAGCTAGTCTCTTCATTTGGAAAAAAAATTGAAAAGAAAAAAAATCCTCTACATCGATCCAAAAGCCTGCTGCTCCTCTCTAACACAATATTACTGTAAGTACAGAGTCCTGGGAAAAATAACTCTTTCATAACTGTTTATTTAGTTATCTGAAAGTAATTGAACATCTAGCAGGAATTACTAAAAGTGTAATTTTTGTTGTAATATTTCCACTGGCAAAGCTTTTCTGGTTCTTTTTAAAGCATTTTGCCATTTAATTGAGGATTCTCATTAATTTATAAACAACTTGAGGTCCTTCTACACTATTCCAGTTGGGTTATTTTACGGTGCTATTGCTGCTGCGCTTGGGATCAGCTTAAGGACTTCAATGTGCTTGATTTCAGCAGTCATCTTTAACAGAACAGCAAACAGCAAATGTCCAACACTTCAAGGTGCAAATGAAGCCCAGCACATCCCTTGTCCATTACTGTGCTTGACAGTTATATGTGCTTTGAGATTATATAATGTCTTTTTAGTTCAACAAACATGACACTTTAATGCCAGAAATCCAGGCAACCTTACAGTAAGTATTGCCTGCTCTTGCTGTCAATGGCTTTATCATAGAACGACCAACTCTGAATTTTGGGGTCTGATGTTAATTTCTCTGGTCTTCAAATGGGTAAATTCAGATTTTCAGAAATATTTAAAGCTGTTTTTTTCTCACGTTATGTGAATAATCCTCCTGTTCACTGTATAATGAGCTTCAAATTGTTCAAACAATTTATAGATTTATGGTTGCATCTATAGCTTCTCTGTGGGTACTACTAACCTCTCTTCTCATTGGCATTGTGTTAGCTACCTACCCTGCCTGAAAACTGTCAAAACTCCTGCTTTATGCAATCGCTCACACTTGCTGTAATGATCAATGAAGGATTTTGAATTTAAGCACATTTGGCATATGTTGACCTTAAACTCTATGGAGGAGTAAGTAGCACCACGGTTTCCCCATGACTGTCTCACCAGTCATACAATTGTTATTTTTTCTATTTCACAAAAAAAAAGGTTTCTTATATCAGATTCCAGCATGGATATCTGAAAACAGATCTGCATCATGCTGAGCAGCGGTGGACGAAGTACTCAACTGTAGTACTTGAGTAAAAGTATTGATACTTATAGTAAAATTTTACTCAACTACAAGTAGAAGTTACTCAGTAAATAATCTATTCAAGGTAAAGTATTTAAGTACTATCTTTTGAAAATACTTAAGTATTCAAAGGTAAAAATCAAATGTTCTAATATCAGTACATTTCTGTCTAATTTTAAAGAACCGTGTAACTTTAGGAAACCACCTGATGTTCAAATTCTACACCACCTGTAAAGAACTTCAGCATTAAAATGGCACAAAAATAATAATTTATTAAAAAACAAAAATAAAAAATATTAGTGTCTTGATTCTCCTTGTATGTTTGCTATGGAAGAAAGGTTTAAGGTTGAATCTATTAACACAAAGAAACTGAAACTCTGATTTGAGAACTCATCCTACTGAATAACTTGGCCACATGGCAACAACTAACTCCTTAATAAAATGGAAATGGTAAATGCCATGTACTTATACAGTATAGCACCTTTATTCAAGTCAGGAGACTTGACCAAAGCACTTTACACTACATTCATTCACCTATTCACGCACACACTCACACACTGATGGTGGNATTTGCATGTTTTCTAAACAAAAACAAGGCCTTGTTTGGGCTACTGCATATAGCCTCGAACTCAATGCTATTCCTGACATTTTGAATTGAAAAAGCTGGATGGGAAGCAAAATGAAAAGAAAGTACAATGGATTTTTTTTTTTTACTTTTTGTAATGACTATGACCTGGATGACTAAAAATCTTCACCAGCATCATAAATTGTAAAATGCAATTCCTTAAAAACCTTTGTGTGTAATAAATCTACATCAGTTTTTAAATACTACAATTATTATAGATTTTTTTTGTGATATTCCAATTTCTTTAAATGCACCTATATGGCAATCAAAATAAATTCTATTAAGCTAGTCTCTTCATTTGGAAAAAAAATTGAAAAGAAAAAAAATCCTCTACATCGATCCAAAAGCCTGCTGCTCCTCTCTAACACAATATTACTGTAAGTACAGAGTCCTGGGAAAAATAACTCTTTCATAACTGTTTATTTAGTTATCTGAAAGTAATTGAACATCTAGCAGGAATTACTAAAAGTGTAATTTTTGTTGTAATATTTCCACTGGCAAAGCTTTTCTGGTTCTTTTTAAAGCATTTTGCCATTTAATTGAGGATTCTCATTAATTTATAAACAACTTGAGGTCCTTCTACACTATTCCAGTTGGGTTATTTTACGGTGCTATTGCTGCTGCGCTTGGGATCAGCTTAAGGACTTCAATGTGCTTGATTTCAGCAGTCATCTTTAACAGAACAGCAAACAGCAAATGTCCAACACTTCAAGGTGCAAATGAAGCCCAGCACATCCCTTGTCCATTACTGTGCTTGACAGTTATATGTGCTTTGAGATTATATAATGTCTTTTTAGTTCAACAAACATGACACTTTAATGCCAGAAATCCAGGCAACCTTACAGTAAGTATTGCCTGCTCTTGCTGTCAATGGCTTTATCATAGAACGACCAACTCTGAATTTTGGGGTCTGATGTTAATTTCTCTGGTCTTCAAATGGGTAAATTCAGATTTTCAGAAATATTTAAAGCTGTTTTTTTCTCACGTTATGTGAATAATCCTCCTGTTCACTGTATAATGAGCTTCAAATTGTTCAAACAATTTATAGATTTATGGTTGCATCTATAGCTTCTCTGTGGGTACTACTAACCTCTCTTCTCATTGGCATTGTGTTAGCTACCTACCCTGCCTGAAAACTGTCAAAACTCCTGCTTTATGCAATCGCTCACACTTGCTGTAATGATCAATGAAGGATTTTGAATTTAAGCACATTTGGCATATGTTGACCTTAAACTCTATGGAGGAGTAAGTAGCACCACGGTTTTCCCATGACTGTCTCACCAGTCATACAATTGTTATTTTTTCTATTTCACAAAAAAAAAAAGGTTTCTTATATCAGATTCCAGCATGGATATCTGAAAACAGATCTGCATCATGCTGAGCAGCGGTGGACGAAGTACTCAACTGTAGTACTTGAGTAAAAGTATTGATACTTATAGTAAAATTTTACTCAACTACAAGTAGAAGTTACTCAGTAAATAATCTATTCAAGGTAAAGTATTTAAGTACTATCTTTTGAAAATACTTAAGTATTCAAAGGTAAAAATCAAATGTTCTAATATCAGTACATTTCTGTCTAATTTTAAAGAACCGTGTAACTTTAGGAAACCACCTGATGTTCAAATTCTACACCACCTGTAAAGAACTTCAGCATTAAAATGACACAAAAATAATAATTTATTAAAAACAAAACAAAAATAAAAAACATTAGTGTCTTGATTCTCCTTGTATGTTTGCTATGGAAGAAAGGTTTAAGGTTGAATTTATTAACACAAAGAAACTGAAACTCTGATTTGAGAACTCATCCTACTGAATAACTTGGCCACATGGCAACAACTAACTCCTTAATAAAATGGAAATGGTAAATGCCATGTACTTATACAGTATAGCACCTTTATTCAAGTCAGGAGACTTGACCAAAGCACTTTACACTACATTCATTCACCTATTCACGCACACACTCACACACTGATGGTGGAAAGCTACATTGTAGCCACAGCTGCCCTGGGGCTCACTGACAGAAGCGGGGCTGCCGTACACTGGCGCCACCGGGCCCTCTGACCACCTTCAGTAGACAATGCTGGTGAAGTGTCTTGCCCAAGGACACAACGACACTGAAAGTCGGAGTCGGGGCTTAAACCGTCAATCCTTCGATTTCAGGGCAAACTCCTACATCCCACGCCACTATCATATAAACAACAAACTATATCTGCTCTAAATTTCTCACATTTGTGGAATGTCATTAAATCTCTAAATCAGTGGTTTCCAAATTCAGTCCTAAGGGCTGCTATCTTGCATGTTGAAATTGCATTTTAGTAAAGAAAAACAGCAACAGCGGATTAAAAAACTAAGCTGAGCCAAAAGGAACAAGTAACTAGCAGCTTCCTCTAAACGTAGTTGAGTGAAAGTTATAAGTACCCCCCCAAAAAAGTGACTCAAGTAAAAATACTAATAAAACGTACTTAAGTACAGTAATCAAGTAAATGTACTATGATGTTGAGAGGCATGTCAGCTGAGAGTTTAAAGGCAATATTAGTTTGATTATTGAAAAGTGAATTTATTTCTAGAGTTCACTTAAAAATTTGAAATTCAGACGCAATAAAGATTCAATATATGTTATATGTTTCAATAATTAATTCCTGTTAATTCTAGTGATCATGCCTACAGATTTCCTATTTTTCTGAACATGTTTATTTGTGATCAATAAAATAAATGAATAAAGTGAGACAGGAATGATATAACCATGTTATGGTTTTCAATAAAAGGAAGATGAACTACAAATGATTAGGAAATGACCAGGAAAGATGGTTATTCACAGAACAGTTTCCAGACAAATGTATAGAAGGTTAGCAAGGAGGAAACATGTATGAGAAGAAAAATGGCACGAGGCATAATTTAAGCCTGTAGAAGGTTTTGAGGCCAAACCAATCAGTACTTTAAGAACATGTAGTTTCTACAGTCTGTGAAGATCTGTGGGGCCTTGTCATCTGCTGCTCATCTGGTGAACGGAGCCCCAGCAAATACCTGAGTGCATATGTTGTACAGTAGTACATGTCTATATTATATTATCGAAAACATAAATATTTGAGAAAATACATTTGGGGTTTACATAAGCTGTGAGCATTGACAGAAATGAACTTTGAAAATATCCCTTTGTGTGCAATAATTTAACCTTTTGAACTGAATTTTTGAAATTATTTTAAATTATCAGCTATTAATGTGTACTTTTGGAACATACTCTAAAAACTGCTTAGGCAATGAAGTTGGGTGCATTATGAAAAGCTAGGTATATATATTTCTAACTAGAGCATTTCTTTAGAAGCTTTTTATCTAGGCCTAATTGCAGTCATAAAAAGCAGCATTGACCAATATATTTTAAAAATAATTGGAATTCTTAAATATTGTTCATAAACAGATTGCTTTAAGAGATTACGAGATTACTAATACATGTATTTAGAATTCCTACTGCTAGAAAGTAATATTAGTAAAAGCCGTCATACTGATGTTATAACTATTTAAAGCCTAGAAAATTAAACTAGTTTTCTACTATATGAATTATGTGGATAAATTATAATTTAACCTTTACAAACACATGTGTGCATGTTAAAACTTCCAAAGCAGCTTAATGACTTGACTGAAATCCAAACATCTTTGTGAAATATTAACAATCTGATGTCCCCCCCTCCCTTTTTTTCTCTGCATTTTTTTGTTTCTTTTCTTAGAAAAGACACGGTTTACAGATGAGCCACAGAATACCCACCTGAGAACCATACAGATCACTCTTCTGAATACTCACACAGTCAACCCTGTTGGTCTCAATAAATCCACCAGTAGCTTGATCCCACCCATCAGAGAAGCTGAGGATGAATGCTGAGCTCCAGACCCCATCCTGACATCTGGACAAATGGACCTCCAGGACGACTTTTTGATCGGATGTCAGTGCGGACCTGGATCTCCTGTAAACACATACTATCAAACTAACAACTGCTTTCCTTCCTACATTGTTGCAGCAATGTAACATCTGAGCTTAATTAAAACCATTAAGACAATCCTGATCCCCACTCAACTTTCCCTTTGCACAGCAGTGATCAGACTCCATGACTGTTTTTTTGTTTTTGTTTGCTTGTTTATTCCTTTTTGAGGAACTGGGATCACTTGAGGAACCAGAGGTGGATGAAGGACTATAGTTTTAAGAATTGCCTTTAAAGCTGTACATCAACAACTACTGCTACTGCATTTGAGTCACCTAGTCTGGTTGACATATTCTGTACAGTTTGTAAGTGTGTGTATTTTGCATCCAGCTGTATCCCCCTCACTCATCCACCACCACAGCCACATGAGGACTGATGTTGCACTCCATTTACAACAGGGGCTGAAACTCTGAAAGGCAAAGAGTAGTGCCCAAATGTGGGTAAAACTATGAATAGGTAAATGAATCCAATCAGCCCAAAGGTAACAGGGACAGCTTTGCAATTTAAGGTTTTTTTTTTTTTATTTCAGTTCAGCTACTCTCAGTTGAAAAGAACTGAATAGTTTTTTATATATTTAGTTTCCTGGTAAATGGTTGGTAGAAACATCAAACCTTCTAGTGAGGAGCCATCTAATACATCCAAAATTTTGTCTAAAAAGAAAGCACTAACAATGTACCTTCACATGAGTGGCTAGTTTCTAATAAGAGAAGCAAGTCAATGCAACAAGTTCTGACCTTTCACTATCGGATGCTTTTGCCTCCAAAATCCCCACATAAGCATTTCTGGTTTGTTAAGGTCTACAATCAAAGCATAAGGTTTAATTAGTAACAATCAACTACATATTCAAACTAAGTATGAACAGTCGTTTTCCAACTATAGATTTACATAAACAACTACTCTGTGGCCCTTATGACTTCTTAATAGAAGCATTAAGGCATAGCAGCATCTTAAGTAAAACTGAAGTCTTGTAATACACTAAAATATTAGACAAACAAGACTGATCCACAGTGTAAAGTATGTCTACACAGAGTGTAGATTACATCCATTCACACTTTTTATACGGTATCTGTTTTATCGTCACGTTTCCATGTAAATCATAAAACATCTAAACGTGCTATCCTCAAAACTACTTAAAAAACTGACCCACATATGGTGTTGGTTGAAACGAAATTGCTTATGTACAACTTAAGTTTAAAATTTAGCTTAATAATCATGCAAACCCATGTACTATGGAGTAAATATTTTACTTAACTAGGATTAAATGATAAAATAAGTAATCATAAGTAACATAAATTGAGCCATTCACCAGAGCAACAACATTTTTATAGGAAGAAACACACAAAATAAAATAAGAGAAAATTGATGGAAAAAGATTTTTACTCTGTTTCAACAAGTCTTCCTTGGTGGAAAATCTCCCTGTATAAAAAAAAACTTAAGTGTTAAATACAGTTTTAGCCCCAACTGATACTTTTGTACAGTAAGTAATTTAAATCTCTTTTAAGCTTTTTGTTTTTCAAACAAAGTTTTTAGCAAAATCACCTAAATTAGAATATACCAACACAGTCCTACTTTATTTGTGAATAGACTGATTACCTGTTGTCGATAGCAAATTTGAACCCAAGATAACAGGAAATGAATCAAACTAAGGCTTACATTACAATTGTATAAAATAATGAATTAATAATATAGATATAGATATATATAGATATAGATATATATAGATATACAAGATGGTTCAGCCCAAATCATAAGCTGCCTCATGAAAGTATACTTTTAAAAGCTTGCACATTGATGGATTGAATATTTTTATTTATTCATTTATTTTTTCCAATAAATGTGTGAATGTATGTCAATGGAATATTTAGTAAAAAATATCTCACAATAAAAGTTTGTATTATAATGGATAATTACCTACAGGCACCACTGCATACTATTATTAAAATAAATTACATATTTCTATAAAATCTAAAAATATATAATTCATTAAAACCAGGAACAATAATATGATATCCAAACCTTTTTAAAAGTACATTACTACTGAAAGAAAAATACTGACATTTAATATTTTAGAAATTGAGTAGAAGCATCCATTAATTTTTTTTCAGTGGTTTAAAATGCAAGTAAGAGCGGCAACTCCTGTGTAAAAGCTCAATTGTATGTGAAAACTGAAAAGCAGAGAAAATTGGCAACAATATGCTTCATAAACAGGCTTTCTGCTATTACAAGTAGAAGGCATCATATATTTAATTCTTTGCTGTGGAGTAGAAAAACTCAACATGTTCTCAATAATTTTGGGGTGCTGGGTGGGATTAATTTAATAGCCAAAGGTGAAAACAAGAGTTTTTTTTTTTGTTTTTGCAGCCTTCAGAATGTTTAATAGGCATGGCAGCCATGTTGGTTGGTGTTGGTTAAAAATCCAGGATTGATTATTGAATTTCCAAGTACAAATGGTGTGCAGCATGACTCTCAGTGTTTTCATTGCCTTTTGGAGCTATTTTACAACATTTGTGAGGGTCAACATCTGTCAGTGAAATGACATGCGGCTCCAGCCTTATCTCTTTTCACATTTATTTGTTTTATCTTTGCCTTTTCAAGTCTATAAATGCTTTAAACACTATTCTGTTTGTTGAAAACCAAAACTACAGATTCATCAATATAGATGAGAAAAAAAACAACTTCTTTAGTTTTATGATAGAGCTGTTCGGTCTGTGATCTATTCATTAACATCCAACGCCATAAACAGTTTTCATGCATGGCGCACTTTTCCAAGCATGTAGGCAAGATAACTTTTTTAAAGCCGTATATCGCATAAAGTGGGCATCTTTAAGTTCTCCTTTGGCTGCAAACACTGCCTGGCACAGGATTGTCTTGGAGGCATCTTGAATGTACTCCATGACCAATCTTAATGCCATTACTATTCATTGCATGGATTCTCGACAAACAGCTCTATCATAAAGACTGGTTTGTGTTCAGAAACAAGAAGATTAAACAATAATAATCTTAGCTTATCTTCTATATCAGCTAATGTGGTTGCTTTGGTCTCAGCCAATGCTGAACTATCATATCTTATTTATAAAATTGAACATAGTAATACTGGCACTGCTGTCACTTTATTTACTCTACCATCCATAAAGCAGAAAGAAGTAATAACATTTACCCATAACATTCTGAACCCATACATAATGCTTCACACCCTAGCCAATAATGTTTATTGTATGTGTGAGTAAAAAAAAAAAAAAAAAAAGGTTTGTGACATTTTTACTGGCACTGAGAACATCCCAGCTATCCATCCTTCAGTGCTAGTAATGTGCCAGGCAGTGCTGAAGCCAATGGAGAACTCTATAAAGACCCACTGCTGCGAAAAGAGGCTTTTAGTTTTTTTTACGGAGAGTGATCAGACTTCTATTCTAATGTCTTAAAAACACTTCCCCCCACCATCACAAAGCAATGCATTTCATGTACATCTGTAAAACTTAATGTAAAGTATTTATTTGTAGCGTGTTCCTGTGTGACGGTAACTGTGGTGTTGAGACTCATTCGGCATTGCAGGCTTGCTTGTATTAATTTTGTGCTTTTTTTTTTTTTTTAGCACATTTTCCAAACAAATAATGACTGTCCGAAAATATATGTCACTATATGCAGAAAAAAAATATATTGTCTTGTACAAATTTGCTTGTACATAATTGTACATGATTTCATTTTGTATTTTCACAAATTAAAAGCAGATGTATGGTGTCCTGCTGTTTAATGTGTTGTTTCTTTATAGATTTTTCACTCCATCACAGAAAAACAGGGACAATATCAAGACACCAGCAGTTTTTTTTCAATGTCTAAGTAAATTAAATGATGTCTCTAAACTCACTGAGAATAAAAGGATGTTTGAAACACTCCAGGTTCTCACCTTCAGGAAAAGGAGCGCCCATTAGGCTGCTTGTTAACGATTTTACACACCGTGGCATTGTGGGGGACTGTCAGCATGCCAATAACATTTATAGCCTAACACCTCCTAGTGAGGCGGCTGATTTTCCGGATCCTCCTGCCAGCGGCTGTGACACCTCAACTTAATAAACAAACACATCCAACCCTCCCTCAGCGATCAAGAATAAAGGGGAGGAATTTCACACTATGAATTACTGAAAATCTAGTGTCTCTCAAAATAATGTGTAAGGGGCACAAATCTTTTTCCATTTATCATGATAGAACTCCAAAATGATGCATGTCTTACCCTCATTTTATGCATTAGACCAACATAGACTGGTGCATCCAGTAAGTCAAGACTTTAAAAAACTTATCTTTATGAGTTTTTTGCACGTCCAGAGACAAACGTTTCTGCTCCTTAGTCTACACAAAATGACCTGGTCAGTTGGATTGAGGGCCATTATGACTATGAAATAGGTCCTGACTCAGACTAGGCCATTCCAGCCTAAATATATTCTTGAATAAAAAAAGATCTGTGATAGCTGTTAAGGGCTGGTGTCCTGCTGGTGGGTGAACCTGAGGCAAACTTACACATCTTATTCGGCCTTTAACAGTTTAGACTTTTTATTCCAGATGATTGCCTATTCATTCATCCCCAAATATGTCCACAGCATGTTACCACAATCATATATAGTAGGGATGGAGTGTTTTGTTTTTGTTTCTTATTTTATATCCATACATATGTTATTCCATGTAGTTCTAAATATTCAGTCTTTGGTTTATTCTTACCAAAGTAATTTATTTCACATTTGCTGTTGAACTACACGTTCATAGATTTCCCCACCTAAATTGTGGATCTTTACAGCTCCTCCAAAGTTGAAACAAGTTTCTTTGCTGCCTCTCTAATGAATACTATTGTTAATCAGACTATCAGTTTAAGTGGATCATGGTTTATTATGTAAAGGATTAAGATCCTGTTTCAAAATTTGTCCCAATTTGGTTTTGATCTTAGAGAAGACACTTGTTCTCTGATGCCTCTAACAACCCTTACTGAAAAGTTGTAATTATAGTGCGATTTGAACATACATTCTGGGTTTTAGAGTAAAATGGGCTGCATTTGTGCACACCTTACCTTTTCGAATTTTAATAATCTTGGGTCGTTTTCCATCCAATTCCAAATTATGTGCTATTTTGTTTTTGTTTCAGTGAAACAGTTCAAAGTTCTTGGTTGCAACATGAGCAAATCCAAAATGCTAACAGGATGCAACAATTTACACAACCAGTTAAGTCAGAGTCCATGTTTTTTTGGTGAGTTGTTTTCTTAAATGTGAACAAGCACAAAAAAATCAACGGTTTTCTCTGAAGGCAACTCTTTTGCCTAGCTTACATGGGTGATAATAGTTTCCATGACAATGCAGCTCTCCAAGTGCATCAATGCCAGCCCACATAAACAGGGATCCTCTACCAAAACAAGGGGGTCATTACCGCAGCTTGTCAAATCAATGCTGAGAGTGTCCTGGCTGATTAAGGCGTCCCCTCGCAGTCCTGACACAGTGTCAATATTGGCTGGCCTGTAGCTGCACACTCCCATGATTGGACTGAAATGCCCATCAGTCAGGCAGCTGAGCTGGACTAATGATTCCCTGTGCTGCCTATTAGAGAGACATGACAATTTAATCCTGAGGGCCAGGCGAGGAAAAGTGACCTTGGTGCTTTATATTGAAGCTGAGGTAAATTGACAAGAGCAGATAAATCTTTACCCTGGGCTATTAACAGAATTAAACAACAACAAAGACAGAAGCTTCTGTCTTTATTGTTGTGTTTAAATGTGCCTTTTCTGATCCCAGTGAATTTAGGGCTCGTAGGAGCTGTTTGATATAAAAATTCATTACACAGAACTTTGAAGCCTTTTTATTGTTGGTGCTTGCAATAGCAATGCAAGGAGCATGGAATGCCATTCCTAAGGCCTTGACAGTTGCCACCAAGTGTGGCAACTCCAGTCATCAGCAGGTATCCACACCAGTTCCCATGAGGTGTGGCAACGCCACTCGCCATCAAGCATGAACAAGTAAATTGCCACCTATTATAGCTACATATGTCAAGACCAAAGGTTTCACGTATTGCCTGTTGTGAACTGAATCCAACCAATCTCATATACCCTTTAGTGCGATAAAACAGCTACAGTACGCACCAAGTGGCAGGCACCTCCAAAACTTCCTTGGTGAATTTTCTAGTGATTAATTCTTCTGCTGTAATTACTCTTCAGCTGCCAGTGCAAAGTCTGAAGCGAGTGAAAGAGTGCAAAGAGTGAAATGAGGATGCCATTTATTTGTCTGGCCATCTGTTCAGATTACTCTGGTAGTAAGACACCTTCTGACTTTCTTGTAAAACCGTAAATATGGGCACACATAGACGTTGCAAAATAGATTCAGGATTACATTTCACCATGGTTCCACAAATTTCACATATTATTTTCTTAAAATTATGTTTAGAGGCAAAGTGAAACTGGAAGACTTACCCCAGCACCACCTGCATTCAATTGTATGTATGTAATCAAGTAATCTATGTATGTAGTCTGAGTAATTTATGTATGTAATCTGAGGCCTCAAGAAACTAGAGTATTCAAGTATTGGAGTAATCAAGTAATTCATGTAATCTGAGTAGTCAAGTGTTCAGTGATCAGAGTAATTGAGTAGTAAGTAACCAAATATTTTGAGTAGTTGAGTAAT